TCTTGTACAGGTATATATCTCAAAAAAAAAAAAAAAAAAAAATATTCAAGTTTGGTTATTAGCTTTATTTTTTCTGGATTGTATAAAATTAATAATACAAAAAGTGGTCCATCACTCTCTCCAAGTATACATATTGGTACTTTTGACCGAATAGTTACTGTAAGTACAGTATTATAATTTCATGAGGATGGGGTGATTTCAAATATTTATGACTTGTAATACTTATGGCCTGTTATTTAGTCACGTGACAAGATTAAAAACATGTATATTTTTTGTTTAATTAGATAAAAAAAATTGCAGTCTGTGCAGCAGTTGATTCACTAATGATTTTATTAAATATAATCAAATGCAACCCATAAAATTTAGGAATTTAAAATTGGTAACAGCACAAACAGTCCTAGCTCAAGGTACCTCAGTATGCCTAACAAACTTCCAGTTAGTAGGCCTAGGGTTTGGTCTTATGTCATTACTGTACTCAAACCTGTTTTTGTATCATTTTCAGGCCAAATATATTGTATCATACTGTATACAAAGAGTAAAGCACTCACTGTTCCTATAGAAAAAAATATGGTGTCCCATCAGCTTAAATTGGCTAGCCTATGTATGGGTTCCCTAAGATCCCATAGGAGGTTTAGTCAAATCTTACCCAGTCATTTTGAAAAAAGTTCATTTCATGGGTAAACCATCATGGGTACAAAGTGACACATGCTCCCCATATATACTAACATCAAATTTGATTAGTTCACCCATCTTTTACACCCAACTTCCTACAGTCTCCTACATTTACTACAGATAAACACAGTTTATTAAGTGCATAATACTATTTTAAAAACTACAGAACTCATTTTTGGATGGATTTTAATTGTGTTACTTTGTGTGTGCAGGTTGTCTACAAGGTCTCCTTCAGTTATGTCGCAGGCTTTGGTTCAGACTCAATCCTGTCTTAGTTTTTGTGATGCATGTCACTTGGCTGGTAGTGTTTCATCTTGTATGTTTCTTCATAGGAGTTATGGTTCCAGGATCAATCATATGTATTTGCATCACAGCAATGGAAGGGTTGTTTCCTTTATCACTGTCCCTATTAGCTCCTCAGACCATAGTACTGTATGGTGGTGATGGGTGTGTTGGCTAGGGACCAGGTGAGGGTGGGTAGAGGTTGGTGGTAGTTGAATTGTAGTCTTATCCAAAGTCTAATTTCTTTTCTAGATCCTCCAATCTCATGACTGGTATTTGGGTGTCTGATGACACAACCCTGACAGACACAGATGGTATCTTAGGTTGTGTTCGGAGTGGTCTGGAGGAGCTGTACCAGCCTGTGGAAGGTGATGCTAGGCAGAGGGATGTATCTTTGGACACGTGTTTGGAAGCATTTATGTTGGGAACGGGTGTAGTGCTCAACAAGGAGACTTCCTTGATGGGGCTTGATAGTTATGTTTGAAGTTTGGATGGCCAAGCTCCTGGGTTTGGGTAGTCAGTTCTTTACAGACTCTTGGAATTACATGGTGTCAGTCCTATGGGGCAACATTGTGGAGGCAATGGAATGATGTGCAACATACTGTCTTAGTCTCTACGTCCATGTTGTCATCCAGGCACTTGACGCTGCTTCAGAAAGGGTTGATATTGAATTGTAGGGGGCTCTCAATGGTGTGGTTTGTTGCACATTATTTTCCTGCCACATGAGGTAACAAGGGCCATTGAAATGTTAATCATTAGATGTATGTTGCGTGGGAGATATCAGTCAATCAGGCATACCACTCTATCTGGATTGTGGGAGTGGTGGGATTCAAATTCAAAATGTGTATAAGACTTTGGCCAAATTGTTTGTTGTATCTACAAGGGTGTCTGAGTGCTGGGGTGGGATAAGTATGCTGGGGCATTATTATTGTAAGTTAATGGTGAGCTATTTGCTGTGTATGACCGATTATGTTGAGCTTAATTATGTTTCTTTTGCCCCCCCTCCCACCTCCTATTGTATTCATGTGTATTTAATGTTTTATGGCAACTTTGTAAAGTGGATGCCTCATTCAGCTTATCTTGTAAAAGTGTTTATGGTATCCTGCTTCTCTGTGTACCCCCGCTATGGAGGATGCATTACCCCTTTACGATTGGCATGGGGTGTGGAGAAATGTGAATTTTACGTTTATTGTGCCGAGGCAGCATGAGATTGTACTGTATACCATTCAATCTATGACTTCCCACTAATGCTAGGCTGCATATGTTGGGCATTCAAGATAGTGCTAATGGTGTTTTATGTTATGAAAAGTCTACGTTTCATGTGTTTTACTCTTGTGAACTTAGGGCGGCGTTAGTAGTATGGTTGAAGCACTTTATCACAGCTCTGTGTCATCCGAGTGTGCATGTGGAGTTGTTGACATGTTTGATGTTACAGGACAGGGTCAGGTTTAATGTGTGGCATTTACACTTGTTGCTTTGAGTTAGGATGTGTTTTTTGTTTTTTGTTTTTGACCAGTATAGTAATCTCATATGACTGTCCTTACTTTTGATTCACAGTTGACTTTTCTGTGGTATTTTCTGTTCTCTGAAAATTTTTTGTATACTGCAGTGTTTCAGTTATAAATTTGGGGTTGGATTTAAAATTTACGTTACTTTTGTGACCTTTGTGTACATATTCTCTTGCATTCTTGTGACTTGCACTTCTGTATGTCCCTTATAAGTTCTCCCCCCCTCCCCCCTTCATGCATTTTTTTATATAGTATGGGTAATGTGACAGCCAGTTGGATTGGTGTGGAGTACGAGCCCTGCGAGGATCCATGTTTGTACATTAATGTTAAGATTGCCTACTTGTAATTACTACTTGATTTTATATTATTTTTATGGTAGAGTTTGTTGTGCTAGGGTTTTGTCTTTGGTTATCTGTACATGAGGATATAGGTACATTAGTAGTAATGCAGATTTTTATAGTTTACAATATGAAGATGTCAACAATATTAAGAGCTATTTGGACATACACTAATAAAGGAATGTTCCCTATGGGTACCTCTTTCATGCAATGTTTTTGTTATTGTATGGGTACTTTAGAGAGTTGGTTAGTGAGGTTCCAGGTCTGTACACTGATTGATTGATTGATTGTATGTAACTATTGTTTGAGCTTAGTTATGCTAAAGGTTTGTCGGTTGTAGGTGAAGATATTTCCTCGCTTTATTGTATGGACATATTGTATTATTCAACCCGTCCTCCTGTTTACATAGTACTTTTTGTAACTACAGTATGTGCACCATAATACAAACATTGACGTAGTAAGTAATTAGATAGTAGAATTTTGTACTTTTCACTTTATCGAGTCCAACAAAAATGAAGCCAAAAAACAAACTTAAATATTCCTAGGTCTAGTATAGCACACACGTGTACTATATCAGGCCTCAGATAGTGTGCATTAGGCCTAGGAAGTTTAGGATAGTTTGTCTTTGCAACATAAGAAAATTGTTTTTCCGTTTGTCCAAATTCAATACAGTACTTGTACTGTAATACCACTTTCTACTTTTTAATTGCATTGTACATCGGTACATGTACTGTGGTCCTCTTCCTTCCTATAAGTACAGTACTGTACTATTAAAACAGAAGGATGGGCTGTATTATTGTATTTTAAATAAGAGAAAACAAAAATTACAGTAAACACATTAAAGCACACTAAAAGAGAGTGAAAGGTAAGTGACAGAATGATTAAGAATTTCATCCTAAAGAGTGGAAAATTGAGATGCAAATCTTAAGATTTAAGTACATACAACAAACCATCCACATCAACCTCCACTTGCAATAGTTTTACCCACATAGACAACATAACTAAAACACATGTGTGTTGCTGTTAATTATTTTATTTATATATACAAGAGTTCTTACATTCTTGTACAGCCACTAGCACGCATAGCATTTCGGGCAAGACCTTAATCCTATGTTCCCTGGAATACGACCCCGCGTGAAATCGGTTAACAACCAGGTACCCATTTTACTGTTGAGTTAAATAGAGGCTACAGTTAAGGATTTACACCCCAGTAAATCCTCCCTGGCCAGGATACGAACCCAGAACAAAGCGCTCGCAAAATGCCAGGCGAGTGTGTTAACCACTACACCACGGAGACTGCCAAGTTTACATCTCACACCTCTCTTGTTCAAGTAACACGCACACAGACCTGCCTGGAACACAGCAAGTGTTGTACGCTGCACACAGGGTGAAGACAATGACACAGGGGTGAAGACAATGACACAGGGGTGAAGACAATGACACTGGGTGAAGACAATGACACAGGGTGAAGACAATGACACAGGGGTGAAGACAATGACACAGTGTGAAGACAATGACACAGGGTGAAGACAATGACACAGGGTGAAGACAATGACACAGGGTGAAGACAATGACACAGGGTGAAGACAATGACACACAGGGTGAAGACAATGACACACAGGGTGAAGACAATGACACACAGGGTGAAGACAGTGACACAGGGGTGAAGACAATGACACAGGGTGAAGACAGTGACACAGGGGTGAAGACAGTGACACAGGGGTGAAGACAGTGACACAGGGTAAAGACAGTGCCACACAGGTCCTGCTGGAGGCAGCAGCAGAATACCTGGTCCCGTAACCACAACAATCCTTGAACCTTAACCTCGGTTATGTTTGCTGTTGGAGCTACAAGCTCTCACTCGGAGGTGGAGTGTGAGGTAGACCTCTCCCCAGCTCTCCTCTCACCGTGGTGAGGTAGACCTCTCCCCAGCTCTCCTCTCACCGTGGCAAGGTAGAGCAGTAGTGGGGGCGCCACACTCAGGACCAGTGAGGTGGCCACAAACTGTACACAACACCACAACACAATGACTGAGTGTTGCACCATCTCCCCTTCACCACCTCCTCCCTCACCATCACCACCCTCACCATATATCACCGCCTCGCCACCCTCCTCGCTCTCCAACACCCCTCCCTCATCTCCTACCACCACAAAATAGCAATATTATGGTATAAAATTGATGTGGTAAATCAATACTCACTCTCAGCTGCGGCTCCAGCCCATAGCGATGGATACACACACCAGGCTCGCCAACCCTCCTCACTCATAATGTGTACATGTGTATGTAACATTAATCATTGTGTAACTAGCGTCAAAAATTATTATTTGCTTAGCTAAATGAACTAGAGGGTTTAGTTCCTGAAGCGATTATGTGCCTCTGTAATTCTTTACACCACCGCCCACGGGATGGGTATGGGGTGCATAATAAAGAAATTGAATGAATTATCTCGCTCATTATCATTCATCCCACTTATTTTCAATTACAATTACTTACAAATGTAATTGCTAAATATAATTACTGGCGTAATTTTTAAGTCCAAGTGTTTATCTTGCGTGAGTGCTGAGATTGGTATGCATGATTGATAAACATTTAGTGACAGGTTGACTGAGAGTTTTTATTTTTGTTTTTTATTTAACAAGTTTAGGTGTACACAGCAATGTGCTGCTGCTATATGCTATATGAAAGATTGCACAGTGTATATCTAAAACTTGCTATAAGTTTATCAAATATTCCCATCTGACAGGATGGTTAGTCATACATGGAGTCAAGCGAGAAATGACCTGTCTTAATACAATCTCTCCAGTAATTTGACATCACGAGAATTGTTCAAAAGAAGGACAATCTACAATATAATTAATGGCATAGCCGCTGGAACGAGGGAGGAAATTATTAGGGGAAGACGCCAAGCCATTAGACTGTATAGCATTGGGAAGGGGTCAGGATATAAGCATTTGGGATGGGACGGGGGAAAGGAATGGTGCCCAACCACTTGGTGGACGGTTGGGGATTGAACGCCGACCTGCATGAAGAGAACCGTCGCTCTACAGTCCACCCTAAGTGGTTGGCCTAGCCCCTGGAGCGAAATATATATAGGCGTAGATAATATGGAAGAGTCATTTAAGGCAACGGACCTAAGGACTGGTCGAGATATATTTTTATTTGTATTTATTTATATATACAAGAGTTCTTACATTCTTGTAATAATTAAATAATTCAGTGCTTGGCCAGCTGGTATATATGTACAAAAAGATAGATTATATTAGTTGTTATTGTTGTGTTAGATTCAGCTTTTCTGAACAAAAAGTTTCAAGTATAGCACGGGCACGGGCTATGGCAATATAAATTATATTGGTGAAATTTATGACTTAAAGTACTAACATTGGGTGAGTGGGTAGCACAAGATGCAGTGTGAGTTTGGAGCACAAGCTGGGAAACTATGAGGATGAAATTATGTACTCTTTAAATAATTTTACTCTTGAGTAGAGTATAGGCTGAGCAATTTTGTTTAATTCATTAGGGAGTGATCTCCATACACTGGGTCCTTTTATTTGCATGGAGTGTTTGTATAGATTCAGTCTTACTCTCGCTACCTGTCATATCATTTTGTAAATATTATCATAAAAACTATTACATTTCTTGTAAAATTTGATGTCACAATGAAGTTATGGTTGGCAAGACACAGGAGCAACGAACTAACCTTGGGACAGGAACTCACCTGGCATATAAAGTCCTCCATGACGCACTGGCTGCAATGCCTATTGCTGCTTACTATAACCATAGCTGTTTTATCAGTTTGTTATCAATAAATGCGAAAGATAAGCCGCGTGACGTGATAGCAAGAAATTCAAGCTAAGTCCTCCTTGTTATCTCAATAAAAAAACTGAAATTGCTCTAAAATGATAAGCTCTCAAGCATTTAGTATTTTTAATTTGTATTATTGTAAGTACAGTACAGGGTTTATTATGGACCCCCAAATATTTATATTATGAATGATTGAGTAAGGTTAATATAGTGACAAATAATGAATTAATGGACCACAATGGTTTTATTAGTGAATTATGTATAATGATGTTCAGATATTTATCTATTAACCACTTGCAGGCGATGAGTCACAATAACGTGGCTGAAGTATGTTGACCAGACCACACACTAGAAGGTGAAGGGACGACGACGTTTCGGTCCGTCCTGGACCATTCTCAAGTCGACCATTCTCCGTAAAGGACTTTAGACCTCCTGGCCTATTGTACCACCAACTGTGTAACTATTTTATTGACTCAGGTGTTCTGGGCGACATCCTAACAATTTACCCAAAATTTGCTTGTCCATTTTAAAGAATGAAGAACAATTTCTATTTATATTCTAAGCTGTATCACTTATGAACCCATCCCTGCCCTTGTGTGGCAGTGCACAATAGAAAGTTGTTTTCACATATCCACACATTAAAACATTGATTGTAACCATGATATATATGTGCTTCAGCCTACAGTTTAGACCTATTGTCTTATGTATGACCCTCTGTCCTGCGTGACAGTGAATACTAGCATTATCCTCAATTTAATAAGACTATCAAAATCCTCAGATTAGGCAAAATTGTAATTAATTTTGTCAATAAAGATGTTAATAATAATAAACCATTCTCACACTCGACTTAAGAAGAGTCCAGGACGGACCGAAACGTCGTCGTCCCTTCACCTTCTAGTGTGTGGTCTGGTCAACATATTAACTACTTAATTGGGCTGGACGATAGAGCAACGGTCTCGCTTCATGCAGGTCGGCGTTCAATCCCTTACCGTACAAGTGGTTAGGCACCATTCCTTCCCCCCGTCCCATCCCGAATCCTTGTCCTGACCCCTTCCCAGTGCTATATAGTCATAATGGCTTGGCGTTCTCTTCTGATAGTTCCTTTCCCTTCCCTTCCCTTTTTTAATCACTCTGAACGTATCCATGTGTATCTATTTAGTGGGCATGGGAAGTAAGTAAGTAATTATCAAAAGAAGGCACCGAATCGGGAAGGCTATGTAGGGCGCTAAATATCACCAAGGATGCCAATATGAGAACAGAAACGCATAAGGCGAACGATATCGAAAGTATCCGAGTCACCAAGAATTCTATCGAGGGACAATTGACCGCGAGGGACGGTCGGAAAGCAAGACTCACGCTCGTCCTGGAAGTCAGGACATTCAACAAGAATGTGCACGACTGTAAGAGGAACAATGCAATTTGGACAATAACTAGCAGGGCGGGGCTCCATTAAGTGACCGTGAGTTAAACGTGTATTGCCAATACGTAACCTAGCCAGAGTCGTTTCCCACCGCCGGTTACGGTGGTAGGAGGAAGGCCACAGGGACACATGACTCTTAAGAGTACGCAGTTTGTTACCAGTAACAGAAGATCAACAAGCCTGCCAACGGGCAAGGATGGAGGAATGAATAACTGGGTAAAAGTTGGAATAAGGAATACCTTTACGGGAGATGGGACAAGTGCTGATAGCTTCCTTAGCAGCAGCATCCGCACGCTCATTTAAAGACACCAACATGGCTGGGAACCCAGCAAAACTCTACCGACTTAAATTTACTGGAGATAAGAAACAGTCAATGTTGAATCTCGATGACCACCAGGTGGACCGGATTAAAGGACCCCAAAGCCATGAGGGCACTACGAGAGTCAACTACCACCACAAAGGAGGATTGACACCGTGAAAGCAGGAGACGAAGAGCATAGAGAATGGCATAAAGTTCTGCTGTGAAGATGCTAGCCTCCGGAGGAAGGCGACACATATAAGTGTGGTCAGGAAAAACAACAGAGTAGCCCACACCGTCCGCAGACTTCGACCCGTCGGTGAAGATGGGAATGGAGCGAGAGTGAGAAGAAAAGTGCTCAAGGAAAAGGCGTTTCAGAACTGTAGGAGGGGTAAAAGCTTTAGTGATGCGGGTCAGGGAAGTACCTAATTTGGGAAGGGGGACCCTCCATGGGGGCAAGGATGGAACAATACAAGGAGAAACATTGGTCATACGAACCGAAAGAGAATCTTTTAAGCGAGACAAACGGACAGAAAGAGGAAGGTGGTGAAGAGGAACAGGAACTACAGGAGGGGTAAAAGTCAAAGTACGTCAGAGGCGAGAGAGAGTTTGGTGTACCAAACCTTGAGATTCTTCATGGAAACTCTTGTACCTGAGTTCTCCCTTTCTCTGGGGGTCTGGGGGGATCTGGGGCGTGTCTGGGGGTGACTGGGGGCAGGGGGGATCTGGGGAATCTGGGGGGTGTCTGGGGGATGACTGGGGGCGGGGAGGATCCGGGGGATGTCCGGGGGATCCGGGGGGTGTCTGGGGGGTCCGGGGGGTGTATGGGGGGTGAAAGAGGTCAGGAGGGGTGCTTGGGGGGCTACTGAGGGCTGGGCTTCTAGGAAGGTAGGTAGGAGGGTCTGGGGTAGGGCCTGGGTAGGTAGGTCTGGAGTAGGAAGGGCATACTGGGTCTGAAGATTAGGGAGGGCATAGAGGGGTTGGGAGATAGCGTAAGGTTGGGAGTCAGATAGAGGTTGAGAGGTTGGGAGGGGAAAGGATAGAGGGGGTGGGGGGAACCTCCCACCCCCCTCGCAAGGGTGGGGGGTCACATGGAAGGAGAGGGGATGAGGAGGGTTGAGGGCTAGATAGGCTTTGGGCGTTGAGGGGATGAGGCTGGGTGGGTTCTTGGGGTTGAGGGGATGAGGGCTAGGTGGGTTTTGGGGGTTGAGGGGAAGAGGGCTGGGTGGGTTTTGGGGGTTGAGGGGATGAGGGGGTCCTTGGAATGTGGGATGAATTTGACTGCAGTGGGGTCAGAGGGGTCAAGGGATGTGTTGGGGAGATAAGCAGGGGCGGCTGATTTGGGGAAGGGGTGACCTGAGAAGCAGGTGTGAGCTGGTTAGTATGGGGTGGATTAGCACTGGGGTGTGTAGCTACTCTCAAATGGGAAGAGTTGTATTGTTGTTTGCTTGCTCTGTGGGCAATCTGTTCCTCCTTCGACATGAATTTGTCAATATATACGTTGTAGTAATTTTCGCTACCTCTGAATAAGTGTTTGTGATGCAGTATGTAATCCACTGCCTCTTCGTTAGTGAACTGTACCAGGACAGGTCGAACAAACCTATCGTCCCACAAACCTATCGTCCCACGTGGTGGTAGAAGGGTTGCTGCCGGGGTGAGGTCACGCGGTCAGAGTCCGGTGAGGTCTGCTCCACACTACACACTGCCACAGTACTTCCTCAACTATTTTGAATTACGCTATTTAAACTGTTTCTCTTCACTACCTTATGGCTTTGGTCAAAACCCAAGGTTTTTTCATTCACTTGTACACACTTATTCACTTCGAAGTTGCCTGATTACCCCTCCCACTCCACTAGTAAATAAATAAATAAATAAATAAATAAATAAATGTTTATTTAGGTAAGGTACATACATAAAGAGATTTTACAAAGTTTGTTTGGTTAATAGATAGAGCTAGTACATACAATGCCTAAAGCCACTATTACGCAAAGCGTTTCGGGCAGGAAAAACATTAATGACTAAAGCTTAAAACTAATGGGTAAAAAGAATAAAATGTGTTGAGAACAAATAAAAATAGAGGTAAAAGAGGGGGAACATAGTTGAAAAAGCAGCACAAATACAATTACAAATTATTACAGAAAATTACATTCAAACAGCGTTGTTTTGAAAACAAAAAACAAAAAACATACATGGGTTGACAACAGAGGGGTAAGGTAGGTTACAGGGAATTTATTAGGTAGTGCTTCGTTTTTATCTTAAACTGGTTGAGAGAGGTACTGTCTTTAACATGGTTGGGAAGATCATTCCACATTCTGGGTCCCTTGATTTGAAGAGCATTTCTAGTATGATTAAGTCGTACTCTAGGAATATCAAAACTGTATTTATTTCTGGTGTGGTGCTCATGGGTTCTGTTACAACCTTCAATGAATCTTTTGAGGTCAGGATTGGCATTACAGTTCAGCGTTTTATATATGTTTTATATATTCATACATATATATTTGTATATAAATATATTTATAATATAAATATTTGTATATAAATATTTGTGTATGAATATATATTTATATATTCATACATATAGATATATATTTATATATCAGCGTTTTATATATTCATACAGCTCTTGATAAAAAGGAGTTCCCTGTTGGGTTATTTGTGGACCTGCGTAAAGCTTTTGATACTGTCAACCACCATAACCTTCTTCTTAAATTACATCATTATGGAGTCAGAGGACACTCCCTACAATACCTCGAGTCCTACCTTACTGACAGGCTCCAATATGTTTCTGTGAATAATACAATTTCTCCCACCCTACCCATCAACATTGGTGTTCCTCAGGGCAGCATACTTGGCCCTCTCCTCTTTCTCATCTACATTAATGACCTTCCAAATGCCTCCCAACACCTCAAACCAATTCTATTTGCTGACGACACAACCTTCATTTACTCCAGTCCTGACCCTCTTGCTCTAAATGCCACAGTAAATACTGAGCTAAATAAAGTCCATCTTTGGCTAACTGCCAACAAACTCACCCTTAACATTGACAAAACCTTCTATATTCTGTTTGGCAATAAATCCTCTAGTCTTATAAATCTCAAAATAAACAATACCCAAATTTGTAACAAATTAGATGGCAAATTCCTTGGCATTCTCATTGACCACAAGCTGCATTTCCAGGGACACATTCTAAATATATCTAAAAAAGTTTCAAAAACTGTGGGCATTCTTTCTAAGATCAGATATTATGTACCACGCCCTGCCCTGGTGACTCTCTATTACTCCCTTATCTATCCTTATCTCAACTATGGTATTTGTGCTTGGGGTTCTACTACCCAAAATCACTTACGTCCTCTAATTACCCAACACAAAGCCGCTATTAGAACAATATCCAACTCTGGCCCCAGACATCACTCGGTACCCCTACTCAAATCTCTTAATATGTTAGATATTAAGTCTCTGCACATTCTCTCATGTGTATTATACATATATAAACGCTAAACTATAATGCCAATCCTGATCTTAAAAGCTTCATAGTAGGTTGTAACAGAACCCATGAGCACCACACCAGAAATAAATACAGTTTTGATATTCCTAGAGTACGTCTTAATCAAACTAGAAATGCTCTGCAAATCAAGGGGCCCAGAATGTGGAATGACCTTCCCAACCATGTTAAAGACTGTACCTCTCTCAACCAGTTTAAGATAAAAACTAAACACTACCTAATAAATTCCCTGTAATCTACCTCACTCCTCTATTGTCAACCCATGTCTGTTATTTTCTTTTTTTTTTTTTTTTTCTTTTTTTACTCAACACTGTTTGTCAACCTATTGTATTTGTGCTGCTTGTTTAGTCATGTTTCCCCCTTTTTTTTATCTTTATTTGTATTTGTTCTCAACATCTTTTATTCTTTATGCTCAATTAGTATTAAGTTCTAGATATTAATGTTTTCTTGCCCGAAACGCATTGCGTATGTATAATACACATGAGAGAATGTGCAATGACTTATTATCTAACATATTCAGAGATTTGAGTAGGGGTACCGAGTGATGTCTGGGGCTAGAGTTGGATATTGTCCTAATAGCAGCGGTCCGTCTAATTACCACAAGCTACCACAAACTACACAAACTTCAGAAAGCTTCCTGGCAATACGTTAGTAATGAATAAATATGATATATTTACTCATTATAATGTTGGTGCTGAATGTACAACACGAAAAAACATAATTTTAATCTGAAAAACCCATTGTTGATGTGATGACTTATATTGAATTTTGTAACTAGCTCATCAAGATTGTAACTTGCTTAGCTAAATGAATTGTGGGGTTCAGTCCCTGAGCCCATTATGTGCCTCTGTAACCCTTTCCACTACCGCCCACAACATGGGTATGGGGTGCATAATAAATGAACTAAACTAACTAACTAACTAACTAAAAGTATTCAGCACAGTTTTGGCATTTACGGCTTCGGCGGGTAGGCGGTTTTCACCTTGTGGGTGAAAAAGCCTCTTCTGTTCTCAGTCTTACATTGTGGCTTGTCGAGATTGGAATCCTTGCTCCTTGTTTGTGTTACATCTGACCTTCTGAAGTAAATATCCGGATCAACATTATTTATTTTAACTTGTTCAGTATTTTAAAATAAAAACGTGTTCAGTATGTTAAAAAGCTTCAATGAGATCCGCCCTGTCATGCCTGGTTTGCAGTGTTCTTAGTCCCTTGGTCTTCAAGCGTTCCTCATACGCGAGGTGACTTAGCTCTGGAATGACTTTTGTTGCCCTGTGTTGCACCTTCTCCGGAGCAGCTATAGACATATAGCTGATATTTCTATGTAGGCATGGAAAGACTTTGAATCTGTATTGTTTTGATCATGATTTTTTTCGTAGTTTCTTTTTGTTTGATCTGATTTCCTGAATTAATTACCTGTTTGTATATCTCTAATCTATGTTGTTCTTTGTGGACTAATACTTGCTGCTCCAGAGATTTCGCTTAAACAATAGACATCCATCTAGTTCTCATTCTTTTCTTCCTTTCTTTGTCTTGGCACATATATTTTTTGAACAAGTTCAGTGATGATATATTTAAAGATCTCCCATGATGCTTTCAGGCCTTGATTGCCTCTTCAACATATCCAGTAAGTTTTTTGAGGTTCCTCTTTCATTCCATGATAGTCTCCTTGAGGATAATCTAGAAGGGCATCCTGGTCCGGACAATTTCTTCAGAAGGTCAGATGTAACACAAACAAGGAGCAACACTCTCAAGCTCAACAAGCCACAATGTAACACAAACAAGGAACAACGGTGACAAGCTCAACAAGCCACAATGTAACACAAACAAGGAACAACGGTGACAAGCTCAACAAGCCACAATGTAACACAAACAAGGAACAACGGTGACAAGCTCAACAAGCCACAATGTAACACACACAAGGAACAACGGTGTCAAGCTCAACAAGCCACAATGTAACACACACAAGGAACAACGGTGACAAGCTCAACAAGCCACAATGTAACACACACAAGGAACAACGGTGACAAGCTCAACAAGCCACAATGTAACACACACAAGGAACAACGGTGACAAGCTCAACAAGCCACAATGTAACACAAACAAGGAACAACGGTGTCAAGCTCAACAAGCCACAATGTACCACAAACAAGGAACAACGGTGACAAGCTCAACAAGCCACAATGTAACACAAACAAGGAACAACGGTGACAAGCTCAACAAGCCACAATGTAACACAAACAAGGAACAACGGTGACAAGCTCAACAAGCCACAATGTAGGACTGAGAACAGGAGAGGCTTTTTCCCCCCACAGGGTTATTAACCCGTGGAACCGCCTACCCGCCGAAGCCGTATGCCAAAGCTCTGAAATTTAAAATCCAGCTTAAAAATATCACCAGGACAAATCGGAGTACTTTCAACATGTCCCAGTCTTCCTTTCCTCGTCTAGGCCACTAGACAGATAGTGGATCTCAGGTAAATTCAGGCAAATTTAGAATAAGATAGCCTCACATGGTTGTGCTCCTAAGCTAAAAGAATAGAAGCTAAAAATTCTACTCTCATCGAAGATGTTTATAAATTAGTTCATGTCACCTACAAATGTTTCAAATATTACAGGTAAGAATACTGCTATGTTATTTATTAATGGTATTAGTGTTAGTGTGAATGGTGAGTTGATTTAGGCTGGTGGTGGTAATGAAGGTCTAGGCTCGTGGTGGCCACAACACAGCAGCCGCCGTTGCCTGGGCCAAGAGCACGCTGGCAGTCTATATATTCTAAACGTATATGAGGACGCTGTTTGTATCTTCAGCACCCACACCATGAGCAACATAGACGTTACCGACGTGGTGGCGCACATCAAGCAGGAGTGAGGAACATGGCCCCTATTCTGTCTTGTGAATGGAAACGAGACGAATTTTCCTTTAGGCAAAGTTGGAGGTTGTAGCGTGCCCTGGGAGTAGGCAGTACCCTGGGAGTAGGCGTGCCCTGGGGTAGGTGTGCCCTGGGAGTAGGCGTGCCCTGGGGTAGGCGTGCCCTGGGGTAGGTGTGCCCTGGGGTAGGCGTGCCCTGGGGTAGGTGTGCCCTGGGAGTAGGCAGTACCCTGGGGTAGGCATGCCCTGGGGTAGGTGTGCCCTGGGGTAGGCAGTACCCTAGAGTAGGCGTGCCCTGGGGTAGGTGTGCCCTGGGGTAGGCGTGCCCTGGGGTAGGTGTGCCCTGGGGTAGGCAATACCCTGAGGTAGGTGTGCCCTGGGGTAGGCAGTACCCTGGGGTAGGTGTGCCCTGGGGTAGGCAGTACCCTGAGGTAGGTGTGCCCTGGGGTAGGCAGTACCCTGGGGTAGGCAGTACCCTGAGGTAGGTGTGCCCTGGGGTAGGCAGTACCCTGGGGTAGGCAGTACCCTGGGGTAGGTGTGCCCTGGGGTAGGCAGTATCCTGGGGTAGGCGTGCCCTGGGGTAGGCAGTGCCCTGGGGTAGGCAGTGCCCTGGGGTAGGCAGTGCCCTGGGGTAGGCAGTACCCTGGGGTAGGCAGTACCCTGGGGTAGGCAGTACCCTGGGGTAGGCAGTACCCTGGGGTAGGCAGTACCCTGAGGTAGGCAGTACCCAGGGGTAGGCAGTACCCTGGGGTAGGCATGCCCTGGGGTAGGCAGTACCCTGGGGTAGGCAGTGGGCACTGGTATATTGAACCTGTCAGCTGCCACCACTGGACATGTCGCACTAATGTTGTTAAGTGCCATTTATATTGCTGTAAGGCAAAATGAACTACAGGAAATTGCTTCAAACTCAGAATATAACAGGTTATAATATATGCAGATACAGGTTACTGTGTACCCAAAACAGTTCAGTTGATTTTAAAACCCACCTAACCAAATGCAATTTAACTTGACCCAAATTTATACTAACATAGTCTCAGGATATGTTCACTTTTAGCACTTAGGGAGCTTGTTTGGAGCACTATATGAACTGCCTCAAATCCATCCAACAAAATCAGCCCTATAAAATTGTTTTCCATTAAACAACATACAGTTCATTGTTCTGCTCTCCAAATATTCTAAACATAGTGGTGTGCTCATAATATTTATAAGGCCTCCATTGTTTGTCAAAAAAAAGTGAAACTTTCCCTCGAGGTTACCTTACCTTGTGGTTACCTTGCAATTATTTTTGGGCTCAATGTGCCTGCTGCCCGGTCCTCGACCAGGCCTCCTAGTTGCTGGACTGGTCAACCAGGCTGTTGGATGTGGCTGCTCACAGCCTGTATGTAACATAATACAGTGCATCAATATTGCAAAAAAAATATGTAGGACTATTATTTTTTATTTTTTACATTTCCTAAGTCATTTATGCAAACATACATTGCAAATAAACTTGATTAAAAATTGAAGTGCCTAATTTCCTTACTAAAGTACTCCATCCTATTATTCTATTTTGATTATTATTAAATCTGTTATCTTGAGGTTATCTTGAGATGATTTCGGGGCTTTAGTGTCCTCGCGGCCCGGTCCTCGACCAGGCCTCCACCCCCAGGAAGCAGCCCGTGACAGCTGACTAACACCCAGGTACCTATTTTACTGCTAGGTAACAGGGGCATAGGGTGAAAGAAACTCTGCCCATTGTTTCTCGCCGGCGCCTGGGATCGAACCCTGGACTCACAAGTCCAGCATGCTGTCCGCTCGGCCCGGTAGGAATAACAATAAAATAATGAAGGAAACTGTAGGTCTTTTGGCCCATGCTGGTCAGCTCCTATTTGTACTAATATACAATGTTCATATTTGCATAATCTTCCAATGCTGTCCCACAGCATGATATAATTTTATTACCCATGGGAGTCATATAGACCATTTAAACAATATTTTTCCATTTACATATACAGTTGAGAAATTATAGAGAAGGATGATAAGGCCAACATTTGGTATCAGACCTTTCCCATGAACACAGATTGAAGTGTTACAATCTGCAGTCGTTAAATGCATGATATGGGGAAGGAGGGGAAGGATGTAAGCACTTGAAAATGACGGTAACTGCAGGCCTATTGACCCATACAAGGCAGCTCGTATTTATATCCACCCAATCCCATTCATATATATGTCTAACCTATGCTTGAAAGAATCAAGGGATCCTACTTCTATTATGTTGACCGGACCCCACATTAGAAAGTGAAGGGGCAACGACGTTTCTATAGTTAACTTCTATCATGTTATGTGGTATTTGGTTCCACAAATCAACAACTCTATTACCAAACCAGTATTTACCCAGGTCTTTCCCAAATTTAAACTTATACAATTTATACCCACTGTTATGTGTTCTGTCTTGTGTTGATACTTTTAATAACCTATTAATATCCCCTTTGTTATGTCCATTCATCGACTTGTACACCTCTTATCATGTCACCCTTAATTCTTCGCCTTTCTAGCAAATGTAATTTAAGCTTCGTCAATCATTCTTTATATGACTGATTTCTAATTCGGGATTAACTTTGTCATCCTATGCTGGACGCATTCTAATGAATTTATATCCATTCTATAGTACGGCGACTAAAACTGAACTGCATAATTTAAATGGGGCCTAACCAGGGCAAGATATAGTTGAATAAACATTTTATTGGTTTTGCAGATTCATCATACCTGTGGAGACACAAGCTAACAAGCAAGAAGCTGCTGAAGCCAGAGCAGAGAGAGAGGACTCGACTGATGAACCTCCAAACAAGAAACAGAAGCTAACAGGTAAACAAGTTGATGGCATTGTGGTGCAGCAGGTGTGTCTGTACAGAGGGGTATGAGGGTAGACTTAACCCTTAAACTGTGCAGGCCATTTTGACATATTGTCTGTCGTGCACAAGAAAAAAAAAAAAAAGTTCATTTTTTTTTACAGTATCTTGACATAAAACTATGCATGTTTTCAAGAGACAATCTGATAAATATCTGTAGGAAGTACTGGACTCATCTGGGTTGTGGATATGTGGGCCTGTGGGCCACTGCAAGCAATAGCCTGATGAAATATGTTATTACCACAGAAGCCTGACCACCTGGCTGGGCTTTGAGAGTAGAACTCTCAAAACTGGATATAAGCAAGCAGGATTTAATTTTCCTATTGAGTCAAGAGTATGAAATAGCTAACTGAAGAAAAGTGAGATCAGATGTTTCTTGTTTTGCACTATAATACGATTGACTGATCACTCACCCCTCCCGATGTTGACTTCTGTCCATTCTATATACCCATAGGTTATGCCTTAGTAATGGAGTAATTTCTTTTTTATTCTCACTAGCTGCTATTGCCTTTTCTTTAGTAATAGATAATAGGTTATTCTAGGTCTTGTAAGATGTTAGTTCTTTATCCCTGATGTTGGGCATGATGGCACAACACTGACACTCAAGGTTTAAAAGCACCGATTCAGAAGGACCACAAGTTGCGATGAGGCCTCTGATAACTTTTGTATGCCTACTGGAAAAACAGGACCAGAATCTGGGTGCCTCAAAGAAGCATGGGGAGCATTGGGATCAGAGATCAACCTGCTACCAAGGTGAACTACACATAAAGTTTAAAGTGTTGCCAAACAAGCCAGTGCTCATAGAGAAATAAATAAAAAAACATGCATAGCTAGTGAGGGAGCTGCACAAAAATTGGTGTTTCATTACATTTAGCACTATTTATTTGTTGGACCACTCGCTGGCTTTCCTTAGCTACTTCGCAAGAGCACTCTATAGAGGATAGTCTTTTTGAAAGGGAAATGTTAGAAAATATGTACAGTGGCACCTCGACTTACGATTGCCCCTACTTATGATAATTTCGAGTTACGATGTAAATTTGATCGAAAAATGCGACTCGACATCCGATGGTGTCGTCGACTTTCGATATTTGTTGGTACACGTTCGGGTCGACTGAGCGCGTGGTTCCTGGTCACGAGGTCCGACCTGCCTCAGTTTACTACAGCTGCCCGCTTAGTGACGATCGCGCCTATAAGAAATTCCGCGTTTGTGATGATTTTTTGCATTTTGAACATTAAAGTAATTATTATATATCACGCCATGAGTCCCAGGAAAGTCAGTGATAAGGCTCAACATATGAAAACCCATGTAAGGATGACCATAGAGCAGAAACAGGAGTACAGAATGTCTCTTCCTCAACAATTAAGAAAATGTGTGCAGCATGGGAAGAATTGCAAACCTTTGCTGAAACGACTCGCCCAAATCAAGCTGCAGTAGGCCGTTGCCTTAACCTATTCAATGACACTGTGATGCATCATTACAGACAAATGTTAAAACGGAGGGAAAAACAAATGTCTTGACAAATTTGTAGTGAGACAAACAAGCACTGAACCACAACCAGGTCCTAGTGGTATGCAGGCAAAACGTGCCAGGGAGTGTATACTAGAAAGATCGTCACTGCCTGATGTTATAATGGAAGGGGACTCCCCTTCCAAACAGTAACAACTCCCCTCCTCCCCCTCATCACCATCTTCCATACACCATCAAGAGCCCTCCATAAAGGTAAGATCAACTTAGGTACTGTATTGTAGTTAGAAAAAAACATTGTATTCAGTATAAAATGTATTTGTATGTTAATATTTTAGTAGGTGGGGATCGGATTAATTCAATTCTCTTTATTTCTTATGGGAAAAATCGCTTCGACTTACGATATTTCGAGTTACGATCCGTCTCTGGGAACGGATTAGCATCGTAAGTCGAGGCCCCATTGTATACAGTACAGAAGGGCCATGGTGAGGACATCCTAAAGGCAGCAATCAGCCAGCACCAATTGGACTCCCAGAAAGCCCTAGTCATGATACTAGCAGTATTGAAAAAATGTTAGCTAATAAAGTTACAATAGCAGGATACTTAGACAAATTATGAGTATGGGGATAAACATTAGGCCGAGTGAACAAAGTGAAACCAGATTCCCTAAAAACACATCAACAAAATAGCTGCCAAATAACTTTCAGATCTAAAAAAAAACCAGGGCTAAGACTGGCGGTGTTAAATATGCCAAGACAAGAAGCTAGAAAGAAAGAGACAGTATGATCCGCACATACAAAAATAGTGACAGGAACTGACACGGTTGACAATAGGAGGAAGTTTTGAAACATGTAATTTCAAGAATGGTAGGCATATATTCACACTAAGGAAACAAAAGTGCAGAAAAAATATGAGAATTCTCTTTTGCAAACAGAATTGTAGTTGGTTGGAACAAGATGCCAAAAACATAAGTACAGTAGTTTCAAAGCATAAAAACAAAGCAAAGTTTTATACCCCAATCGAGAGAGCGTCGGCCTCACACACGTGGGGTTCATGGTTCAAGACCCATACAGCCCAGGTGAATGGAATAATTTCAAATCATTGTATGACAGATATAGAAAAGACAGGATGACACGAACAATTACCAAAGTGGAGTTACAGGACGAGAGCTGTACAAGTATTAATGGTTGTTGTTGGGTTTAAATAGAAGCTAACTTGCATAGGCCAATAGGCCTTCTTTAGTTTGTGTTCTTATATTATGTATACTCTAATTTATATGTAAAGTGTTTTATTATCATTGTACTATTGTTGCTTTACCTGTTACAAAAATTGCTGTATTTTAATGACCTATGATTTCTTTCTTTCAAAATATAACTTTTTTCTTTTAGGTACACACAAAAAACGCCCCAAGTTGATAAAGGCACCCAAGAGTAGCAAGTTGTGTAGGTCTGTGTGGTGTTTACGTGTGGGTGAAGATGTTAGTGGCAAGTGCACGTTTCCAAAATGTGACTTCATGCATGATGTGGCTGCATTCTTGAGTACCAAACCTGAAGATCTAGGATCAGTGTGTCACAACTTCCGGACATATGGCATGTGTCATTATGGTTTCACATGCAGGTAGGCAACGGGTAAACAATTGACATTTTGCTAGGGAAGTGATTTTTGTGAATTACTGTACAGTATATACCACTTTATTAAACTAGCAAGGAATGTTTAAAAGAAGTAAGAAAAGTAAAACTACTGTAAGCTAACAAATAATATGATGTGCTACTTTCTCAGTAGTTGGTCAGTTACTATACTATCAGCCAGGGTCTGCCCAGAGCTCTACATAAATACCAGTCCCTCTGTGATTTTCTCTCCACTGTGGCAAGTGCATTTTACAAAACTCTTGCCATGTGATAAGGAATAGAATCTATAGAAGATTATTCTCAATCCTCCATCAGAGCAACTATGCTATGAAAGAAAATAGGAGAAACAAACCAATTCAAATGATATTGAGGTTGCCAAGACATAAAATAGTATGTTTTAAACTACTGTAACTACTGTATTAGTCTTCACCTGACCACCAGCAGGTGATAACCCGAATTCCACAAGGCTATCAGGAAGCCGGCAACCTTACTCAACCTGGCCAATCATACAAGCTTGGGAAGGTGTGGGAAGGGAGATGTGCCAACCTAGTTGCTGCTCCGAGGGTACAATCACTAACTACCCTATTTCTGAACTAGCTTCCTTGGTTGCTCATCAAGACACTCCACAGAGCAAACTCCAGTTCATGCACATAAACAGGATCTCATGTGAATTAGCATGAAAATGAAGAGTGCAGAAGGACCAGAGAAACTAGTGAGCAGATGTGGAAGATCCAGGGACTGGAATAGGCATTAGTGTTGGTGGGTGAGAGGAAGTACAGAGCTACGGAGCACTTGAGGTCAAGGAAGATGAGGCAGTGAGCGACTAGCCAGCACTCGGTTCAACCTCCTAGTTCTCTATGCTCGAATCTCTTGGCAACCCATAGATAAAAAAAGTGGTGATGGCTGTAAACTTGCGTATATAGTATGTCCAAGAATAGAGGTAAAGCAGAAACATCTTCACCAAATCGGAGAGACGAGCCTTAGTATATGGAGGCAACGGCAGGTATTAAGAAAGAAGGCTACAGACTGAGAAACCAGAGACCCACATAAATAGCATTGCAATGATGCCATTGGACTGAATTGATGATAGAACTCTAGATAAATAGGTCAGGCCTGTGCCGCAATAGGGCCTTTCACACGAAACCATGTTGAAAGTCCTGCATCAGGCCATATGGTAGTGTCAGTTACTTCCGTATAATAATTCACAGCAAGAAATCTGTCTCCTCCTTGAATATTGGGACCACGTCAGCCTTCCTCCAAGTAGTAGTGACAGTAATCACATGTTGATTGATTTATTGAGTATTCATATTAGTGGTTCATAGAGCTCTGCTTCTCTCTGCACTTGTTCAAAACGTCTGAACACCTCATCTGTGTCTGGTGATTTATTTAGTTTTAATTTTCTAATTTGTTTAATGATGTTGACTATTAATGTGAATGTATGATACAGTAATTAATTTTTGTCACCATCTTTATATTGTTTTCATGTTGGGAAGGCTGGCTAAGCTTTCATTGGTAAACATGTAGGCACATTAATTATTTAGCATATTGTTAATTTCTGTCTCATCATTTATCAGCCGGCCTGCATTTGTCTTTAGATGCCCTCTTTTTCTACCACTTAGTCTGGTAAATCTGGAAAAAAGCCTTCGGGATTTGACTTTGCATTTCATCCCTTTTGCCTTTTTTTTATTTTCCATTTAAAATGTTTCCTTTTTATTTTTCTCTCAAATTTATTAGGTAGGGGTCTCTAATTTTGTTTATCCTTTATATTGTACATACCCTATAAAATATAAAAGTTGGTATTTTACTCTGTTAACTGTTTGGGATCACTATTATCCAAATGAATGTCTGTTAGGGATATTGTTTCCCTGTTCCATTTTAAGTGTAGATAAAATGTTGTATTCTTCATCTATTATGGTGAGATTAACCAAGGTCCATTCCTCTCTAGAGGAGTGAACCTCATCTGACCCAGCTAGTCTACTGGAGTTGGATCAGTTCTTAGTTGGCCATAGTATGTCTTCTGGAAATTTGGGACCCGAAGTTATAACTAGTATTCTTTCACACAGTCTCAAAGCTTGTACCATTACCATTGTACCATTAAAATAATTCCTTTCAACTTGGTAATTTACCTTAATTTATCATGGCAACCACTCACCACTAACACTGAATCTTGACAAAATTCCACATAGGATAGGAATTGCTTACCTTTTCCTAATCATATCTAGCGCTAACTTGAATCTATTTAATAATTTCTTACTTCGTCTCCTCCAACATTATCCTGTGCTCATCCTGTCAACTATCTCGGTTATCCCAGCCCCAGGAAAACACACCTTCATCCTCTTACATGTATGTGAACCCCTTCAACAAAAGGCCCTGTTTGCTTTGTCTGACCTGAGAATTATAAACAACCAAGATTTTTGTACTTTGTTGAGATGTTTCATTGCCCTACCTGGATTATACCTGGAAGGGTTTTGGGAGTTTGTCTATTTCTCAAGCCCAATCCAGTGTCAGGCCTAATTTTTTAGAGCTTGGTCTAACAGGCTGTTGCTTGAGGTCGGCCTTCAGGCCCTCATATCCACTACAACCTGGTTGATATAGTATTTCTTGCAGAAAACAGTCCAGTTTGTTCTTGAAGTCCACTTTTGTTTCAGGAATATTTCATATATTTGCTGGGTGGATATTGAACAGCTTTGGACCTCTTATGTTTATGCAGTGATCTCTGATTATGCCTTCTTCCATATTGTTGACTCCAGTATGTTGCTATTTTACTGTGCATATTTGGGACTTGGCCATCTAGTATTTCCCTACCTGGATTGTGCCTGGATGGGGTTCTTGGAGTTGTTCTACTCCCTAAGCCCGGCTTGAGGCCAGGCTTGACTTGTGAGAGCTTGGTCCTACAGGCTGTTGCATGGAGCGGCCCACAGGCCCACATATCCACCACAGCCTGGTTAGTCCGGCACTTCTTGAAGAAAACTATCTAGTTTTCTTTTGAAGGTGTCTGTTTGTTTTTCTGTTGGATCCCTACTTAGATTTTACTCTGCAGCACAAAGAACTGGTTGGGAGGCCTCCACTGTTTACTTTCTTATGGTTGTTCCACCATCCATATATAGGATTCATTCTACTACTTCTTGTACCTACTAGCTATCCCGTTTAACCTCCATGACATTGTTTTGCCCCTGTCTTGTAGTTTTCTGCACTGATGTCTACTCTTTCTTACAATGTTCACTGCCATCTATCAGCCGATGTACTGCATTCCTCTCTCTGTTGATTTTGACCATGAGTGACAAGCCAAGTTGGAACAGTGCCTGGGAGAAAGTCATGGGGTAGGCCATTACTGTTCATGGGCCCCCATTAATCCTATGACAAGAGAACACTGGGAAATTTGTCTATCCACTTCACTCACTAGCTCATGTCATACCTCATAATGCTTTTAATTATATTGCAGATATGGTAGGGATCACATTGAAGATTTGGGTAATAAAGTCAACAAGGAAATCTGGGCTAAGTATGAGAAGAGCCCAACAGTCAGCAATGTATTGCAGAAGGAGGTGTGTATTTGAGTTTTTATTTGAAGTAGTTTTCTGTGAAGAGCTCCTCCGGCTCCCCGGAGCTATACCGAGCTGATGTGTATATATATTAGACCGTGTCAACAGTCAATCGCTGGAGTTCTAGACCTACTGGGGACCACAAGCCAGAACCTGGCCTCCTCAGAGAGGCACGAGGAGCAATGGCCTATAGACACTCCCCCATGTGGTTGGAAGCAGTCTATGTCTGCTTTCTATCAGGTCATGCACCCAGAAAGTTAGGAATCCCAAAACAAACTACAGCTGGTTAAAAATTGCAAACCAAAAGCCGAACGAGCAGGCAGAACTCCCCAATCAGAAAACAAGCAAACAAGCATGACATCACAGCTGCCGTGTCGGCTACCCAATCCTCAGTTCTGAGAATGTATTGGGTGAGGGTCAATCGACTGGCTCCAATCCTTGAGCAGTGCTGTGCCTTGTGGTGGTGTACGAGCCAGGAGTAATTCCAGAAGTACTGGGGCTGCATGCACCTAGGGTCACCTTCCCTAGGTGCCCTGTAAGTACTGCCCTTGTGGTTTAGGGTTATCTTCCATAAGTCGTTCGGGGACTACCTCCGCAGGGTTCTTTTGCTGCTCAGTGATTGCCCACCCTTGGGGTCAGCTGGGGTTGTTCCTGCCTCTGTTTGCCCTTGGGTAGGAGGTAGTATCGTCGCTGGCTGGGGCGCGAGGTAGTGTGCAGCTGTCTGATATACGCATAGCGGCTGGTTCTGTTACCTTGGAGACGTTGTGCTTTTGTGGGTTTTTTTCTTTTCTTTTTTGTTTTGACTGCCTTGTGTGGCTATAGGTCCACTTGTATTTTTGGTGGCCCTTCTCTAGGCCCCCCTGTGATTGTACTCGTCGTAGGGGGTTCAGCTTTTAGTATGATTGCTTTGTAACTGGAATAACCAGTTATCAGTACCTTGCCTGGGCTTCCCTTAGCAGTCAGCCTAAGGACCTGGAAATTCCCATTGAGGCTCATTTGTCTGGTGGAGGAGTCCTCTGAGTCCCACTCACCTCATGCGAGTTTGAAGGTTGCTCTGTCCCTTTGTCTCGGGGTGACATTCACCGTCTTTGTCTGCCATGTTGCCTCTTGGGTCATCTTAAGAGGTTATCTTGAGATGACTTTGGGGCTTAGCATCCCCGCGGCCCGGTCCTCGACCAGGCCTCCTGTTTGTTACACATCCCCCAGGAAGCAGCCTGTAGCATCTAACTCCCAGGTACCTATTTACTGCTAGCTGAACAGGTGCATCAGGGTGAAAGAAACTTTGCCCCGTTTGTCTCCGCCTGCACCAGGTATCGAACCCGGAACCTCAGGACTATGAATCCTAAGCACTGTCCACCCAGCTGTCAGGCGCCTGACAGCTGGGTGACACCTGGGTGACACCTTTAACCCAGAGTCTTGTGAGTGGTGTTCCATGTGTGTACTCCAGTTCACCCAGTCCGATAATACTGTTGATTGAGCGCAGGCAGCATCTGCATTTCATGCATGGTTTAGGTGAGAGGAAGTCTCACCTAAACCTTAGGTTGCTGCAACACTCTAGGTTAATTGCATTTCTGGATGCCCGTGGCTGCCCTGCTTTGGTTATAAGGACCCGGACTTGGGGGTGTTAGTCGCATTGACTCTGGTTTCGTCCGCACCCTCTTGTCCTTCCCCTGCTGTGGTTCATCCTTCTCCCCCCTCCTGCTCCCGGCTCCAAACGTCTGAGGGTTTCGGAGTCAAGGCAGGGTCTTCTTAGTGGTGAGACTTGGGCAGCTTCAGGGACTGCCCCTTCAGGATCGGAGGAGGAGGCATTCGAGCCTGCTCCTCCTGGCTTTTGAGTCGCGCCAGCGGGTCTCTTCATCCCTGAGCCTGAGGATGGCTCAGCCCCGAGTCCTGATGTGGAAGATCCCGGGGCTGGGGAGGAGTTGGGGGGGGGCATAGGCCCCGTTTGACTCTGCTTGGGGTGTTGGTGCTCTCAGCAGCACGGGGCTGCTTGTTACAGGGGGAGGGTTTTTTCTATTCCCCCCTCCCTGTACGAGTTTGATGTGGGTTCGACTCCTCCCGGGTTCGGTTCTGGGTTACCTTGGGTTTCTCGGTTCCCTCCTTCCGGAGGTTTTCGGCTTCCCGCATCCCGCCGAGGGGGGTGTGGGAGGCCCTTGCGGCTTACCTCCAGCAAGACCTGGATTACGCCTCGATAATGGATCCTTCTTCTTTTAAGTTTGGCTCTCCTTTTCCTTGCTGGGTGCATTATAAGGTGCCGGAGTCTTCATGGCTGGCATACTGCCCTTTCTCTTTGTTGGGGGTTTGGCATGCATTCTGTCGGACCTGCATGCTTGAATGGCAAGAGTTGATTACAGTCGTTCAGGTTTACATGGGGGCGAGTTTAAGCACTTCAATGTGTGCTTGTGCACCCCCATATTTCCTCGTGATATCGGCCAGGTGCAACTTCACGTGTAGGTTAACTCCCTTTCAGCATCCCTGGTGGTTGTGGATTTGCGCGCCCGTGGGCATTTGGCTTCGGTCTTGTGTTTCTTTTTCCTACTGGAGCTGTCTTTGGTCTGGCTCGAGGAAGATATGGAGGAGCTGGGTTCTGGGCTGGTGTCCTGGGTGTTTACCTCAGCAGCTTGGGCGTCGACTCCCTTGATGAAGTTGAATGCGCCGATTCTGAGGGAGGCGGTGTTTCTGTTCTTTGCTTCTCGCCTCACGTGGACTTTGCCTTCTGGACCTCCAGGACGCATGTTGGTATGTCCCGATTCATCCGAGGTTCATCCCACTTTATGACAGATTTAAGGAACACAAAAGAAGTGTTAAGTCTGCAGACACAAACAATGCTCTCTTCTGTCATGTTAGGGATTCTTATCATCCTATTGATTGGTCTTCCTCCAAAATAATCTTTCCTGCATCTACTCTACACAGACATTGTCCTGTCGAATCGGCCCTGATACACAACATACCCAACATGAACCTTAATCCTAGCTGTTGACTCTTCCCATTCACAGTACAGTACTGTATATACTCAAATGTTCTAAACTTTCTAACAAACGTGACCTAACATAAGCCTACCATTCCTTTTATCTTTCCTTTTCTTTCTCTTGTTTTCACTTACGCTCCCTTTCTTATTCCTATTATTACATCCTTTATTACACCTTACCTTCCGTACCTTTGGCCTTGCTCTCTTCTTCCTCTTAAGATTTCCATCTCACCTCTCTCTCTTGCCTATTTATTGCCCTTGCTTCCTTCGCCTCATCATAATCGACTTTATAATGGTTCAGGACGGACCGAAATGTCGTCGTCTCTTCATTTTCTAGTGTGTGGTTTCGTCAACTTAATATACAGTGGTACCTCGGTTTAAGAGTTTAATCCGTTCCTGGAGACAGCTCGTATTCCGAAAACTCGTATTCCGAAGCTAATTTCCTCATAAGAAATAATGGGAAATGAATTAATCCGTTCCTGATTACCCCAAAAACCCCACATCAAACTAAATTTTATACCTAATTCATCTAAATAAACCTACAAAACTATGTTCAAGTTATTACTTACCCTTGTTGTTGAATGCTGTAGGCGTATGGAAGATGGTGAGGAGGGGGGAGGAGGAGAGGTGTTACTGTTTGGAAGGAGAGTCCCCCTTCCATTATCACATCAGGCAGTGAGGACCTTTCTGGTGTGCACTACCTGGCACGTTTTGCCTAAGTACCACTAGGTCCTGGTTGTGGCTCACTGCTCGATTTTCTCACAACAAATCTGTCCATGGAAGCTTTTTTTTCCCTTCTTCGCAAGCTGTCTCTGTAGTAAGGCCTCACATTGTCATTGAAAAGATTAAGGCAACGGCCTACTACAGCTTTCTCTGGGTGAGTCTTTTCAATAAAAGTTTGAATCTCTTCCCACATCTGACACACCTTAATTTCTCCAGAAGGGACATTCGCTACTGCCTCATCCTCCTCCACTGGAGAATCATCAGCTGTGTCGTCTTGCTGTTCCTTTTGAAGGGCTTGGAGTTCTTCGGTGATCAGTTCTTCATTGTGTTCTTCCACCACCTCCTCCACATCATCACCATCCAATTCCAAGCCCATTTGCCGGCCCAGAGTAACAATTTCCTCAACAATAGGCGCATCATTTACAGGCTCAAACCCTTCAAAGTCTAGTTCTTTCACACATTTAGGCCACAATTTTCTCCAGCCAGAAATCAGGGTTCTTTGAGTCACTTCTTGCCAGGCTTTGTCAACGAGTTTTAAAGAACTACAAATGTTAAAATGGTGTTTCCAGAACTCTTTGAGGGTGAGGTTTGTGGTTTCAGTCACTTCAAAACACTTCTGGAAAAGTGCCCTTTCATACAGTTTCTGAAAATTTGCTATGATTTTCTGGTCCATAGGCTGAATTAGAGGAGTGGTGTTAGGAGGAAGGAACTTTATTGTGAGAAATTTACTGTATCTGTGCATCAATTCATCTTCCAATCCTGGAGGATGAGCAGGAGCATTGTCGAGGAGAAGCACGGCCTTGAGTGGCAAATGTTTCTCCTGCAGATATTTTTCTATGGCAGGGCACAGCACTTCATTCACCCACTCCGAAAAAATAAGCCTAGTCACCCTTGCTTTTTTATTAGACTTCCACATCACACACATTTGGGTTTTCTGCACTTTATACTGTTTGAAAACCCTTGGATTTTCAGAATGATACACTAGCAAGAATTTAATTTTTAAATCGCCACTTGCATTTGAACACGGCACAAGCGTAAACCTATCTTTCATAGGCTTGTGTCCGGGCAAGGATATTTCCTCCTTGGTAATGTATGTCCTCTTAGGCAATCTTTTCCAAAACAGCCTGTTTCATCACAATTAAACACTTGTTGCAGTAGGTATCCCTCAGCCTCTGCAAACTCTTTAAATTCTTCAATAAATCGTTCAGCGGCTGGTTTGTCTGAGCTGGCTGCCTCCCCATGCCTTGTAACACTATGGATACCACTTCTTTTTCTAATTTTTTCAAACCATCCCCCTGCTTGCCTTAAACTCTTTTGTATCTGCATCACTCGTTCCAGGGGTTTTCTTTACAAGGTCTTCGTGCAGTACCCTGGCTTTCTCACAAATGATGGCCTCCGAAACACTATCACCCTTTAACTCCTTGTCGTGTATCCAAATTAATAACAACTTTTCCACTTCTTCAAGTATTTGTGGTCTTTGTTTCGTGATTGTTCTTACGCCTTTTGCCACTTTAGCACTCATAATCTCATTTTTCTTCTTAAGTATAGTGCATATTGTTGATGTGGCTTTGTTGTACTGCCTACAAATTTCAACAACACGAGTACCATTTTCATGCTTCCGAATGATCTGTTGTTTTTCCTCTACTGTCATCCTCACATGAGCTTTCTTGCCTTGATCCTTACCACTGGCTTTCTTGGGACCCATGGCGAGATATATAATAACAACTTTTATGGTCAAATGACCAAAAATCCAACAACACACTGAAAATCCGGGTGAAGAATTGACGTGGGATAGTCACTGGGCACGAGGCACTGGTAAACTGAGGGGTGAGGGGCGACGATCGCCGTACCACCACGCGCTAGGTCGGCCTGTACGCGTATCAACAAACTCGTGTTCCGAGGTAACCCGAGGTTACGTCAAGCCATCGTCTCACATTCAGACTCTGAGTGTGAGATGATGGCTTGATCTGGGAATGCCATGTGCATGCTGCATGCTAGGCTGAATGTGTTATCTTGAGGTTATCTTGAGATGATTTCGGGGCTTTAGTGTCCCCGCGGCCCGGTCCTCGACCAGGCCTCCACCCCCAGGAAGCAGCTTGTGACAGCTGACTAACACCCAGGTACCTATTTACTGCTAGGTAACAGGGGCATTCAGGGTGAAAGAAACTTTGCCCATTTGTTTCTGCCTCGTGCGGGAATCGAATCCGCGCCACAGAATTACGAGTCCTGCGCGCTATCCACCAGGCTACGAGGCCCCTTATTACATGAGGCCCCCGTGTGCATTAACAATTATTATTGATTTATATAATACAGTAATATTCTTTATGTAATACTGCACATTTTGATGTACAATGACTAACGTTTTAAGAAGCTGTTTAAATTAACATTTGTAACAATGGTTGCTTAATTACAGGTCCAGCAAGAATTACGAAAGCGGCAGTATGATTTCACAAAAGCATTACAGGCTCATCGGAAAGCACAGTCAGAAGTGGCCAAGAATAATACCACAGACAAGAACAAAATTCTAGACAAAATGCCAGACGAAACTCCGATAGAAAAAAGTGGTGCTACAACAGAGGACCAAGGTGGTGACGAGCAGAGTTTATTAAATGGTTCTCAAGAAAATGCAGACAAGTCGGAAAAAGAGACTGTGCTGCTTGAGGTCCATAAAAATGGCTCGGATAGTGAAAAGGTGGAAAACAATACGTGTGACGGTGAAGTACCCCAGAGGGACGAGGGTACTGTGAAGCACAACACTCAAGCTGCAGAAAAGGAAGCAACGCATGCAAGAGATAATAATTTTCTCGGACCAGCTCCTGAAGAAGATCTAATTAAACTCAATGCTAGAGAAAAAAAGAAGGTATGTTAATTTAATTTCTTGCCAAGCAAGCATAAATAATTTTTTCATTATATGATAGTTCAAAACTAAAATTTAAGGAACTGATGCTATCCACTAAATATTTTATTCATAAAAAATACTGTATACTTAATGTACTCTAGTGTCATTACAGTGATGCTAAAATTTCAGAAAAATGCTTGCTTAATAACCATTCTATTAGTGTCTTCCTGATGAAACTCTTGAGCACTGTGTAGGCAGATCTTTATCAAGGAACCAGGCAAAGATCACTTTGGCCAACCACCCCCATCACTTCAGATGATTGCTTAACCAGTTTGCATTTCCTTGTCATTACAAATCATCTGACAGAGGATGCAAGTAATGTTTGTTTTCTTTTTGTGGCTCGATAGGGCAAACATTTTCAAGCATTCATTTATTTTTATTTATGCCCTTTAGTACTTATCTCTACTCTAGAGCATTCATTTCCAAACATTTTGACACAAAATTCATAATTATAACACACAATAACTTGAAGTGTATAAACATTTTATGCATTGCTGAGTGGGTCCCTGACATGACCAGACCAGTATTGCACCAGGTGTGTGGCGAGGGGGGGGGGGGGGGAATATCCATAGAGCACTGGACGATGATAATTTTCTGGATATAAATATTTATTTGTACAGATTGCAGAGGAGAATTAATCTTATGCTGAAATAGTACAGTATTATGTTTATTACTAAGTTTCTAATTTCTACATATTCAGATTGAGTGGAGAGGCAAGACCTACTTGGCTCCTCTCACCACACTGGGAAACCTGCCGTTTCGTCGCATCTGCAAGCAATATGGTGTGGACATAACATGTGGGGAAATGGCACTTGCCTCGTGTCTTCTGCAGGGGTCTCCTAGTGAGTGGGCCCTGGTCAAGCGCCATGAATCTGAAGATCTTTTTGGGGTCCAGGTATTTAATTATTTTTGCAAATTTAAATTAAGAATTATTTTTGTAAAGATAGCATCATGATATAAAGGTATAAATGGTACATGAAAGTACAGTATAATCATTCAACAAAGTAGTTTCTCAAGTTTAGTTAAGCTCTCAGCTCAGAAGGATCCATGGTATTGTACATGTATTAAAATGTGCAAAAACTTAGGTGTCTGAATATGTTTAAAGGGAGGAATATTAGCTCTTTTTCATTGAGTGTAAGGTATTAAAAATGTCAATATTTCTTGTTATTAATGTGAACTTGGGGAATGAAATCAAAGTATGTCTCTTGATAGAACAAAATGTTTGAACTGTTGGTGGTTCATGACCTAGAGCATTTAATGAAATATTCAAATGAAGTTTTTAAATTTGTGGCATTTTGTACAAATGATTTATATTTGGCTGTAGGTGTGTGGAAGCAATGCAGAAACCATGATTAAATGTGCCCAGCTTTTGGATGAAAATACTGATGTGAACTTCATGGATATCAACATGGGCTGTCCTATTGATCTCATCTATAAACAGGTGTGTTACATATAAACAAGGTTGTGTGGTGTGCCTACTGAATGGATGGCTGTATGTCAAATTCTTCGTGATGCTAGTTCGGTATTCCTCCAAGGAACACCTTATAAATTTCACCGAAATAATTTCTGTGTCCTTACTTTTGGCTGCTTGAAATAAGATCCCACTGTATCCTTAAACATTATCATGCAGTCAGGCTACATTCAGAAAGACATCAGAGAAGTCACTGGGGAAATAAATAAATTAATTTAGCCAGAAGGCATGGCAGGATATGCAGAATACCCCCCTCCCCCCATTGAAGGGCAGATAGGTATACAATAGGTACTCTGAGAGAGAACTCTATCAACATCAGAGGCCGAGACTGTTCAACACGCTTCCACTACACATAAGGGGCATAACTGGCCCACCTCTCACAGTGTTCAAGAGAGAGAGAACTTTATAAACACCTTCAAGTCCAATAGCCTGGTTGACCAGTCCAGCAACAAGGAGGCCTGGTTGACGACCGGGCCGCAGTGACGCTAAGCCCTGAAATCATCGCAAGGTAACTGCAAGGTAGCCCAGAAATGACCAGCAGGGTTTAATTCAGACAAATTCCAAGCCCTTCCTAACTTTCACTTGGCAACATTGGGCATCCAAGGGGAGGTCCTTGGAGCGTACCTCTGGCAGGACCTGGTTTCTTCTTGGTGTTGGATCCGGATCTGAGTTCAGTTTCTCTTACCCTGCTCGAGGGCATTTCATGGTTCCGGTGCCTTCCTGGCTGACAGCCTGCCTCGTTGACTGGTTGGTGTAGGCTTCCTCCTGGGGTTTGCTTGTCTGCTGGCCAGGGATCTGGTTCTTTCCCAGCTGGCTGGGTTCGGGTTCCTGGTGACTTGGCGGAAGTCCCAGTTGGTTCTGTCCCTGGTTCGGCCTTGGCTGGGCCCCGTGTGGGATTCTCGGATGGCGTCTGTCTCTCTCCCTCCTGCGGCTTTACTTCAGCTGCAGTCCCGCTTTCAGCTGTTTTTGAGGTGGACCCGGGTCATGCGGCAGTTGCTAGAGCAGCTGTGCGGGAGCCTGAGCTTTGCCTTGCTGGTTTTCCTGTGGGGCAGGGTTTGGTTTCGATGGCTGTTCTGGCACCTTCGGGTCAGCCCCTTTCGTCGCTCTCGCTGGGTTCGACCCCGGGGTCCTTGCATTGGTTGCTGCGTCTCCAGCTTCCTCTTCGGTGTGTTTCAGGGTTCAGTGCCATGGTGCATTCCCTTGCCCTCGTTCGATGTGTTTCCGAACGCCTTGTCCCTCGGCTGGGGCTTTGTGACCAGTGCTCACCAGGCTGGCCAAGGGCGTTGCGCTCCTTCTTCTGTTGGGCTCACAGCATGGTGAGAGTGTGGCTGTGCGGCAGGCGCTGTGGGGGTTTGGATCCCTCGGGGATCTGTGATCCAGCTCCATTTGGACTGTGCCCCAGTGGTTCATTGTCTCAATCGGGAAGGGATGGGGGGAATCTCTGCAGTCTGTGGCTCTTTGGGGCTAATCGCTTCGAGTGGCTTTTCTGCTGAGATCTCGGTGTGTGGCTCTCTGTGCTGTTCACTTTCACGGAGTGTCCGCTGTCATAGCAGACAGCCTGTCGCACTTCCTTCCTCTTTCGTTGGAGTGGACAGTTGATGACGCCTCCTTACCTTTCGCTCTGCTGGACGTTTGGGTGCCCGGAGGTGGACCCTTCGCGTTGGTGTGGTCTCGGTGTCTCCCTTTATACGTGGCGCCATTCCCTGTCTGTGAGGCTCTTGCGGTTGATGCTTTTTGGCAGGATTGGATGAGGTGGCTATTAATGTACCTTTATACCCTGGTCCAACTGTTGCTTCGGGTGTTTGCTCGGCTCAGATCTAATCGGGGGCGTGTGCTTCTCCTGGCCCCATGGTGGCTGGCCCAGCCTTGGTTTCAGGCTGCTTGCTCGGTGTGCGAACCCGCAAGTTTTTCGGCGACTTCGCCTCCTTCAGTGGGTCGGGCTGGTGAGGTACCTAGCTGGTTTGCCCTACTCTTCTGCTGTTCGCATCTGATCGTTTTGACGCAGGTGTTTCGCCTTTTATATGGTGATCAGGTGGCTTCTTTGATGGTGTCCCACCTGCAGTCTTCCTCTCAGCGACAGTATGACTTTCGGTGATCATTCCGTCATTTCTTTTCCCCTCATAGGGTTCCGTCGGTGTCTGTTCCGGTTGTTTTGTCCTTTCTTGTTTTTTTTTTCAGGACCTTCATTTCAAGCCAAATACTGTCACTACTTCTTGTGTGGCGTTGGTGGAGCCACTCCAGCTTGGGTTCAGGGTGGATGTCGCTTCTGTTCCATTCCGTAAGCTCTCTCATGCGTCTGTCTCTGGCTTTGTGTGCCTTGGACCATCTGTCACGGCCTGGAGTCTCGTCTTCGCCTTGAGACCTGCGGTGCTACCGCCTTCCGGGTTAATCCCCTCTTTTTACGTATCTGTAGGTAGTTAGCTTCAGGGAGCCAACGGGGCTCCCCCTCAGAAAACCAGCGTTGAATGTATTGAAACGCCATTTTCTGGGTTAGCCCCAGGAGGCTCCCTGACACCCTCCCTCCCCCATCAGTCGGTGGTTTTTTCATTATTCCATGAACTGGAGGTGTGAGCTGCTGGCTTGCCTGAGTGGGCTCCCCTCTCCCAAGGGAGGGGGAAGGGAACTAATAAGCAGGCACGCTAGTTGGATGAAGATTTGCTTTTTTTTTGGAGGGGGGGGGAGCTCTTTGGCTCTGTTTGAAAGTAGGTTTGAATTTTTCCCGGTAGAGGGTCTGTAGTGGTTCGCCTACCTTTCTGGGTGCCTTCCCCAGTCGATGGCAGACATGACATACTCGAAATATAGAGTGCTCATATGGCCATTGCTTCCTGCGCCTCTCTGAGGGGGGCCAGGTTCTGGCTCGTGGTTCCCAGTAGGCAACAGAACTCCCGTAACTGATGTCCCCAAACTAATATAGCACATATCAGTCTGGATAGCGTCAGGGAACCTCCGAGGCTCACCCAGAAAATGGCATTTCAATACATTCAACGCTGGTTTTTTCTGTGCAGATATCTGTGGCAATGTGTAGATTTTAAATTTTTACTGAGAACCTTTGTGGGTATACAATGTACCAATACAATTACAAGGTTTTTGAATTATAGCCCATTTTATATATCATACATTGCCAATAGTGTATCAGGGATTAATGTTATTGTTATGGGAATCTAGTTATCTTTTTAAATTATTTGTGTAATATTATGTATGTGTTGAAAGTCAATTGGCTGTTGTGAGAAATATCGGGTTTAGTCAAGTAACTAGTTCGTGACGTCTAGAAGGATTGCAAGTACTTTGCCATACTCAGTCAAGTAGAAAATTTTCATTCAAAGTTAATTAAGGAAATTGATTTAATTTCTTTTTTTTTTAGGTTAGTTTCAGCTTCCGTTTGAGCTTGAACGAGCTTCATGCCTTGCTTCAGCATCAGGGTTTTATTGCATTTGGTAGGGGCTGTATCTATACGCACCTACATTCCAACCCAGGTTTCCTTGAAAAGAATGAGACTTCATCTTTTTGCAGGAGACCTCCTTTTGTCATTCAGGCTTCTTCGTCGTGTCCTGTAAAGAGAATTGAGCTTGGGGCTCCTTGTGATGCAACCGCACCATTGCTGTGAAGTACAGTACCTTCCCAAGCTCCCCTGCTTAGGCCGTCAGTGTGTGGCCCTTGGCAGATTCTCCTCCCACTGAACCTTATCAGTTGTGGTGGCAGTGCTGGTGCCTGCACCTTCCATTTCATCTTGGCAGGACAGCATTCCTCCTCTCAGTAACATGCTGGCAAATACTCTGCAACACAGGTGAGTATTTCTCCCAGTTTATTTTCTTCGTCCATTTTATCCTTTCAGTGCTGAACTTAACCCCTTTTCCACTTTTACTCTTAAAAACTTCTATAGTTTTCCACTATAAAACTTCTCTGTACACTGAGAGATACACAATCAACTCTTGACTTTGGAAATTGGAAAGAAAATGTGCTGGTGCATTGTGTCAAGTGATTGCAATAGCACAAAATACGGTTTCTTTCATGCCACTGTCAACTTCTCTGGCATATATATGTTATTCTAATTACCATTTTTATACTGTTTACTCAGGTTTCTATTAAATTATGGTGTCTTGACCATCATAACATAATATTTACATTTGATTTATATACTTTTATGCATACTGGCATAAATTTACGAACTATATCATATTGTTGTTCTGTCGATCCTTTTTTTTCTGAGCAAGGCCCCCTTCAAATGTTGCCCTGAACCCCCTGAGGCATAGTAATAATCCTGCATCATCACTAGTACTCCTTGCTTGAGTAACTTTGAACCACAGAGACAAGTAACCTTTGGAATTGTTTTGTTCCATAATTCAGGGCAAGTAGCAAAGTGAAGATCTTATCCTAATCCACCCCAAGGAAAAACTTCTCGGGCACCAAAGAGCACATCGGAAAACGTAACTCTCACTCTGAACAATGATCGAGGTTTCTAAAATAGCCAGTAACTGTTCTGAAACTGCATTACTAGCAACTACTCTTATGTCAGTCATCACCAGGTGGCAGCACTAGCTAATACAACTAGATTGTGGAAAGTGGATGGATGTCAGGCCTTATGTATAGCATCCATCTCACAAAGTGTGCTGCTCTACAGAAATTGATGAGTATGTACTCATGAGTATCGAAATGACGAGTATGTAAAGCGGGAATGGCTACTCTATTCACCATCCCAAGGTCTGCGCTGCTTTGCACTGCTTTGTATGTCATCTATTGTCCAAGAAAAGTTTTTCCTTTGTTTCATTGGGAGATGTACAGCCAAAGAGTTCCAGTACATTATTTAAGGGAGAAGGATAATGCAAGAGTTCTGAAATAATATATATAGCCCCTCTCTGAGCAGTCATTCATCTGCTCTTGTGCCCCCCCGCTTTCTTCCTCTATCTCCTGTGTACAAAGTTCATTTTTGTATCTGCTGGTATACTGGCTGAGACTGGTCAATGGCCCGGGGTTGGGCGTGGCAGTGTTGACCTGGTGACTCCAGCTGGTAGTTAGTGACCTGGTGGCTCCAGCTGGTAGTTAGTGACCTGGTGGCTCCAGCTGGTAGTTAGTGACCTGGTGGCTCCAGCTGGTAGTTAGTGACCTGGTGACTCCAGCTGGTAGTTAGTGACCTGGTGACTCCAGCTGGTAGTTAGTGACCTGGTGGCTCCAGCTGGTAGTTAGTGACCTGGTGACTCCAGCTGGTAGTTAGTGACCTGGTGACTCCAGCTGGTAGTTAGTGACCTGGTGGCTCCAGCTGGTAGTTAGTGACCTGGTGACTCCAGCTGGTAGTTAGTGACCTGGTGACTCCAGCTGGTAGTTAGTGACCTGGTGACTCCAGCTGGTAGTTAGTGACCTGGTGGCTCCAGCTGGTAGTTAGTGACCTGGTGGCTCCAGCTGGTAGTTAGTGACCTGGTGACTCCAGCTGGTAGTTAGTGACCTGGTGACTCCAGCTGGTAGTTAATGACCTGGTGACTCCAGCTGGTAGTTAGTGACCTGGTGACTCCAGCTGGTAGTTAGTGACCTGGTGACTCCAGCTGGTAGTTAGTGACCTGGTGACTCCAGCTGGTAGTTAGTGACCTGGTGACTCCAGCTGGTAGTTAGTGACCTGGTGGCTCCAGCTGGTAGTTAGTGACCTGGTGGCTCCAGCTGGTAGTTAGTGACCTGGTGACTCCAGCTGGTAGTTAGTGACCTGGTGACTCCAGCTGGTAGTTAATGACCTGGTGACTCCAGCTGGTAGTTAGTGACCTGGTGACTCCAGCTGGTAGTTAGTGACCTGGTGACTCCAGCTGATAGTTAGTGACCTGGTGACTCCAGCTGGTAGTTAGTGGTACTCTTCACTTGGTGGACAATAGTGTTGTTAAGCCAGGATTCAGTAGGGCTGACAATGTTTATGTTCAGTATTGATATTTAATGATAGTTCTGGGGCTGGATTTATTTATTTCTCCAGTGACTTTTCTTCAACACACTGACTGTAGAGTCATGCTTGAAAATTCCCTACAGAGCTATGTTGTATAGCCTCTTCCTAACAACATGGCCATGTGTCCAAGGACAGTGGGATCTTACCCGAGGGAGCAGCCGTGTTGTATAGCCTCTTCCTAACAACATGGCCATGTGTCCAAGGACAGTGGGATCTTACCCGAGGGAGCAGCCGTGTTGTATATAGCCTCTTCCTGACAACATGGCCATGTGTCCAAGGACAATGGGATCTTACCCGAGGGAGCAGCCGTGTTGTATAGCCTCTTCCTGACAACATGGCCATGTGTCCAAGGACAGTGGGATCTTACCCGAGGGAGCAGCCGTGTTGTATATATATAATCTGGGAAGCTTTGTTATGATAATGAATGAATGCATTAATCACTGAATATCAGTATAACTTAAACTTTGCTGAAGAATTACTGTATATTATTTGTTTGGAAACTATTGAAAAAACTTTGTTATAATAAGCTGAATGTGTTAAATGTTTTTACATATTATATTTTACATATTATTTTTACTTGTTATCACAAGTTGAGCCTGGCCCCCAGACCAGGCTCAGGGAGTAGAAGAACTCCCAGAACCCTCTCCAGGTATATTGTGGACTTTCTTACTGTATTCTTGTAACTGTATACATGAAAGGTGTACAGTGAAATGGTTATAAAGAATTTGACTTATGCACTCATTTATTAATGCATGATATATGAATACAATGTGAGAGGGGTTTGTATTGTCAGGGTGGTGGTAGTGCACTGATGCGACGTCACGGCTGCCTGGAGCACATGGTACGAGGTATGACGAGGGTTCTCTCCAAACCCCTCACACTCAAGATGAGAACAGCTATTTATCGTGATACTCAAGTTGCTCATAAAATTATTGAGAAAGCCAAGCTGTGGGATGTATCCATGGTTACGGTGAGTTTTGTCCTGTAGTCCTGTTTCTTGTGCAGACGTTATGACAATGCAAAGTGAATATAGTAATCCATAGTATAAATTAACATAAGCCTTGACTTCTAAAGTCCATATATTAATTCCTGTCTTTGAAACAATTTTGACTATTTGCATTATATGTAAATATAGTGTTGATAAGTCATTTCATGACCAGTATTAGTAAGGGTAGTTGTTATTTTACTGAGCTGTTGTCTTTTAAAATAGGAATAAGTGTGTGGTATTAGTTATAAGTGCTACACTTTTTCTATTGTTCATTTTTAGAGTGCTGTATTAGAAAACCAAATTTTTCATGCAAAATAATTAATTCCTCAAGTTTATAAAAATGGATTTGTAATTTCAGCTTCATGGACGTTCAAAAGAACAGCGATACCTGAAAGTTGCTGACTGGGATTACATCACCGAGTGTGCTGAAGTGGCAGACCCCATGCCATTATTTGGAAATGGGGATGTCCTCAGCTTTGAAGATTATAACTATCATCGGGAACATTCAAAAGTAGCAGGTACAGTATAGTCATTTTATTTACAGTATACAGTACTGTATATGTATTTATAATCATGGTCCCCAAAGTATCAGTACAGTGCTTTGAAGGTTGGTGAACTTAAGTGTATGGATTAGTTTTAACACCTTCGGACTCTTTAACGCCGCTGGCGTCAACCGTTTTTCTCTTGAGTCCAATCCGGTGACGCAAGCGGTGTCCACATTTTAAAATATTTGTTAAAAATTTTAATTTTATCCGATCAATCTGGGAGTGGTTTTAGAATGAGCGCATTTAGAGTGCTCACAATATGATACTCAAATGAAAGATGTAACACGAAAATTTATGTCAGAACACTGGAAAGATGTAAATAATTTTGTGATGATGTGCGTCCAAAATTTAAAATATTTATTACAATTCCATTTATTGCTCTATTATTATAGGACTAGTTTTAAAATACGCACCTTTATATTGCGAACAATTTGATACTAAAAGAAGGGACGTAACACGAAAATTGATGTTATCAAACTGAACGAGTATACACATTAGGTTGTGGTGTGCCAATTGGTGTTCGTTCATGGGTAACTTTAGGCTTGCTGCGGGGAGTCACGCCAGGCTTTTGGACATTATATGCATATACACCTGCAGGGAATTTAATTGTGAACACATTGATACCAAAACGAACGATGTAGCATGAGAATTAAGGTGAGAAAACTGAAACAAGTATACACATCTTACTGATTTTGTGCGCTCAAGGGTAACTTTTGCAGACTTTAGGCTTTGCTGTGTTGAATCACGCCAGGCTTTTGGACATTATATGCATATACACCTGCAGGGAATTTAATTGCGAACACAATGATACCAAAACGAGCAATGTAGCACGAGAATTAAGGTGAGAAAACTAAAACGAGTACAGTATACACATTTCTGTGTCGCCGTGTGCTCGCCCGCACCGCCAGGGGGCATGACCTCAAAGTTTTTGGCGCGCATGCCCGGGGCACGAAAGTGTTAACCCTTAGATGATGGTTTATGTCATATGACGACGTGGAGGGAGGAGGAGCCAGCTCAGATGAGCCATCAGCCCACCGCTCCAGTTCTTGAACTATGAAGATTGCCAACTAGAGGAAGGGAGGGTGTCAGAGAGTCTCCGGGGCTTCCCAAGAAAATGACGTTTCATTACATTTAATGCAAGTTTTTTGTATTTTTCTTCACTCACCCATATTTATTGTAAATTTTCCTGAAGGGGGATAGGGTAAAGTTTTTATTATAATAATGAATAATAATAATAATAATAATAAGAATGTTTACTTTGGCATGATGTAGCCCCCTCCAGGGTTTCAATAACAATAAAACAATATTGTCAGTCTTCTGGCCATATGAGTTTGTTCATTTTTTACTCCAGTAGCTTGCTCACCTCATTTGATATCTCTTTTATTCCAAATTTGATACTCTGTGACGTATTAAATAATATTTGTTACTGCAGGAATGATGATAGGTCGGGGTGCACTCATCAAACCCTGGATATTTAAGGAAATTAAAGAGCAGCAGCACTGGGACATCTCCTCAAGCGAACGTTTTGACATGCTCAAAGACTACGTTAATTATGGCATGGAACATTGGGGTAGTGACACAGAGGTAAGAGTTGCAGGAAATGTTTTAAGCCACACACTGCTAGTCACCTATTTCTGCATGTAGGCAATATTAAGGATACGCTATACAAAATCTAACATACAAAGGAAATATTTAGAACATATAATTGTGGAGGAATATACCGTATAAGATACAGAAACCTATTGTTTTGGCAATGTTAAACTCACAAGAACTGAGGTAAGTCCAGAGATAAACAAACACAGACACTGATGTAATGTGAGAACTTGGAAAGTAATGAGCTCATTTCCACATCTGCTGTCTTTTCCCCCTGGCTTCAGTACTGGGTGCCTAATTTATCTGGACTGCCAGACAATACTCTACTGCAATTTTGTCCATGTGAATGTGTAAAAGGTATTCCATTAGCTGGTGCATTTGGAAGGAGGTTTTCCTTCATCTTTAGTGTTGTTCTATTTGGGTATTATATATATTCTCTGAATAAGGAACTTTTTACACCTCCTTATTCTTAAAGTTTGGATAATTTGCAGTTACTTTTGGAATTTTTTTAATGCAGAACCTTGTTGCGGCAGATTTGAAAGCTTGGTATTTCTTTGGAAATGTGCTCAAGTTCTTTGATAGTCAAGAGTTTATTTTCCAGCTTCGGGTGGACTTAAACTGATGGGTTTAAGCGAAGTTCCAGCCTTCTCTTCTACAGAGGTAGCAGCTAATTTACTTGCCAGGATAACTGTATTTAGCTGTGGATATTTGTTTTGCATTCCTTGCCTGCCTGCATGCATACATGTTTTGTATGCATGTGGTTGTAAGCCAGTTTTTAAGTCTTCCATAGTCAGTCTCTGTCTTGCTTTCCATCCTTTCTTGGCCTTTCTATTTACAGAGAATAAAGTGCAGAAGGTGCTCTTAGAGCCAGTCCATATTCCAGCCATTGACTCATGCGTTCCAGCTAAAGTCTGATTGGAGTTAGTGGTTCAGCTTTCCATTAACTTGCTTGAAACAGAAGTTCTGATCTACTAGATTCTTACTTGAGTATGGACTTCCCCTATTCTGTCTTGTGGCTCCTTTCACAAGTTCAGGGACTGTTGTTTTGGGAAAGATGCACAGGGGCCTCACACTCATGCCTTTCTTGCTTCCTTACATGATAAGTCCCGGTGGTGGTGAGGGGAGGTGGTGTCTCCAGACAGTTTGTTAGCCTTTCAGCTGTTCATCCCTAGACTTAGGAAGTGGTGTGGAAGGGTTTTGTTTGGGCGTGGTCTGTCAGGTCTGTCCATCTCAGGCAGCCTTCCTTTTCACTTCTGTATGAAAACCCTATTGGTTTGTGTCCATCGATATGAAGGATTCTTTTGGTACATTATAGTCCACCTGGAGCTCAGAGACTTCCAGGATTTTCTGTTGGTAACATAAGCTTCTACTTGAGAATGGCTAACCTCTTCATTGCACAAGCATTTCAGGAATCTTTCTCTGTGTGTGTGCAAGAAAAACAAAATTCTTCAAAATTATTTTGCCTTATATTGCTGAAATATGTTCGTCCTGTTCATGAGAAAAATAATATAAAATTTATAAATCAACTACTTTGACTATAATGAAGAGATGAAGTTTTGACGGCTGCATAAAATCTTTACCACTCATGATGTATCTTCAGGAGGGGTCACTCCTGGAGGAGGGGGGGGGGGTTGCTTTGTCCATTTAATGTATTGTTTCTAAGAGGAGAGCCTCTTGTGGCTCCCTGAAGCTATCCCACTGAGATAGCTCCAAACTACTAGATCACATCAGTTGTGGAGTTCTGTTTGGCCTCCCGGAGATCAGAGCCAGAACCCAGCTCCCCTCCCCATCCCTATCAGAGGTGCAGAGAGCAAATAATATGCCACCTCACTTGGAGAGCATTCAGAAAGTCAACAAATCATTACAGACATTTTGTGGGTTCAAAAGAATGAAAGCCTGGAAAACTGCCAAATGAACTCTCCAAAACAACGTAAACAAACAATTGAATCTCAAAACTAGCTCCAGCTCATTAATACCAAACTACTGCCACCAGTGAAGTTGGAGCCCCAGAGCTTCCCCAGCTCTTCCAAATCAGTTCTGTTGCTGACATGACAACTCCAGTTGTCCACTAGAGTGCTCCTGGGTTGCCAACCAGTCACACGGGTTCCACTGCTTCCAAGCTAAGTTCGAGCCATACTTGGACTTTGTCCTGTGGGGGGTCATTTGTTTGTTTATTGTTCCAATATTTGTACTGTATTTGCTTCACCAGCTTCCTCTATGGGCTTTTTAGGGTTGAGTTCCATGGTGGCATCCTCTCCCATCACGCGACATGTTTATAGACGCGTCAACTCTGATCTGGAGGCAGATCAGGGTAAACAGGGTTTACCTCTTAAACCCTTCAGGGGTTTAAGGTTTGCAGGGCAAACCGTCAACCCTGGTTTGTGTCTCAGAGATACTGCAGGACCGTCAACAGGGGTTGACGGTTTGCCTGGTTTGTGTCTCGAAGACACTGCAGGATCCGTGTGAGGGCAGGTGCCCTCCCGGTTGCAAGTCTTTTAACCATGTCGTGGCACAGTCGATTAAGGCGTGTCTGGGATCCTCTCGGACATAAGTTCGAACCCTCATCACGGCCCTTGTGGATTTGTTCATTTAATGCATCACGCTATTGTGATTTCTGTGTGTAATGATTTGTTCATCTGATCTGGGGCTTCATGGCCTGGGTTTACCAGGTCGCTCAGGGTCGCAGGTCGGGTCCATTCTGTTGAGCACGCAGTCTAGTGTGTGAATTTGTGGCTGTGGTATGCCTTGAGGAGGACTTGGATGCCTCTGGACTCCATGTTTCAGCTTTATTGAGATTGCTCCTCTGTAGTTTATTGCCTGAACTGAGGGAAAGGGGGTGCTTAGGTACCTTGCCTTGTGGAGCTGGATGTGCAATGTGTTGTGTGTACTGTACAATGGTGGTGTGTGTAAGTGCAGTCTAACTCCTATACATCATGTGCCGAATATAATGGTGGTGAGAATACATAAATTCCAGAATCCACAATTCTGTTTTATATTATGGAGTAGGTGAAAGATGTTGGTGGTCCTGAGTGAGTTTGTGTGACAGAGAAAAAGAAAATGAGGAGCTGAGGGAGAGAGTGAGAAGTGGGGGAGAGGAAGATGAGCAGGGAAGAGGGTTGGAGAGAAGGGTAGAGGAGGGGGGGAGTTGAGAGAGTAGAGATAGATAGATAGATAAAATGTATATGTATGTATGTATGTATAGAGATAGATAGATAGATAATTGACTGAGCACAAATTAAATCTTGCATCCACTTTGGTATTTCAGGGTATTGAAAAGACTCGACGATTTTTGTTGGAATGGCTGTCCTTTTTGCACCGTTATATCCCTGTGGGCCTCCTAGAACAAACCCAAAAGATTAATCAACGCCCTCTGGCATATCGTGGTCGCAATGATCTTGAAACTCTGATGGCATCTCGTAGCGTTAGTGACTGGATCAAAATCAGGTGAGAGAAATGTGTCTGTATCTATTCTTGCTTTAATAGAAGATTTTCATGTAATGCAGAGAATAAGATAAAATAATGTGATTGAAAATTAACACCCAAATCCTTGTACACGTATTGAAAGGAAAGTGACAACATTTTGGTTCTTCCAGGACCCATCAAGTTGTGTTGAACATTCGTCTCTTTCCTTTCTTTTCATAAGAGTAGGTTGGTTATTAATTTTCATTAATTGTTCAATTTATTTAAATCTTAATATCTTGATACTGTACTCTGAATCCTAAACCCCAAGATACATGCTACAAATTTAGAGGTGTCAGAATATGAAATTAAATACTAGCATGATGATGATACTGATGATGATGATACTAGGTGGTCATGTTAAACTTCAACGAGCCGCAACTAACATTGTTGAACAACCCTAGCAACGTGGGTTGCTAGGGTTGTTCAACAATGCTAGCCAACCCATATAATGTTCAATCCATATAATGCTAGCAACATGGGTTGTTGCTAGTATTATATGATTATCCCTCTACCCTCATGCAGACTATCTGGAGCCATATAGCAATTGTTTTGTGCTTGTTTGTAATCATTTACTTGTATGCCCACAACTGTTATCAATATTTAGTGTATATGTAGTACAGTACTTGTGATTTGCATATGTTAAATCATTACAACATTTACTACAATCCCTGGTAGCTTTAATTTGGCTTCATGAACAACATTGTATGATTTGCCCAATATGTTGGCTCATCAGGAGTGGAAGGATTGGATTGGGGACCAATCATTCGAAAACTTCTTGCAACTGAAGATGAAAATTGCCTTGGATCTGGGACCTGTACTACTACTGCCCAGGCATCAGACAACAAAGCAGGATTGTGTTACTGTACTATGTTGAATGTCAGGAATAGAGGCTGATTGTGGTGAAGATTGAGTACCATATGTTGGGTTTATGTGAGACATGGGTAGCGATGATTCACTATGTAATTCATACTTGACTTTTTTCCTGGATAGTGAGTGTTATTTCCTAATTGCTTTTACCCTCTAGGTATAGAAAATGGCTATTACAGTGGAACCTCGGTAGCTGAACGTCTCTCTTTTTTTGCAAATTTTTCGGGTTACATGCTCAATTTCTTCGTAAAATTTGAAGCGGTTTACAAGCTTTGCCTCGCTTTGCGAGTTTGTTGATACACATATGGATCAACCGAGCGCGTGGTTCCTGGTGGCACGGACAACTGCGCTTCAGTTTACCAGTGCCTCCCACCTTGTAACGATCGTGCCTCCCACCTTGTGACGATTGTGAATTCTTTGTAAAGTATTTCATTGTATTTTCTGCTTTTTTGGTTTCTAAACATAAAAGTAATTACTGGTATTATATATCATGCTATGGGTTTCAAGAAAGTCAGTGGTAAGGTTCAAAGGATGACGATAGAGGAAAAACAAGTGTTTTAGAGAGATTCTTAGTAAGACAAGCAAGCAGTGAGCCACAAGCAGGTCCTAGTTGTATGCCTGCAAAACGTAGGAGAGAGAGTACCTCAAAGAAGTCATCACTGCCTGATGTTATAATGGAAGGGAATTTCCCTTCCAAACACTAACACCTCTCCTTCTCCACCCCTCCTCATCGTTTTCCATACTCCAACAAGAGTCATCAATAAAGGTGAGCTGTAACTTGTACATACAATAGTAATAAATATTTGTGTGTATTAGGTATGAAATGTATTTTGAAGTTAATATTTTTAGGAGTGTGGAACGGATTAATTCAATTTACATTATTTCTTATGGGAAAATTAGTTTCGTTTTGCAGATTTTTGGTTACGAGCCGACTCTGGGAATGGATTAAATTTGAGAACCAAGGTACCACTGTATTTCCTGCAAACATTCCTTTTGTGATCAGAATAGACTCTGCTTCTATCACAGTGTGAGTAGTCTGTTCCAGGTAATTGCAATCACCTTTGAGGCACCAACGAGTGGTGCCTCAAAGCCATGCTGGTACTTAATGGGAACAAATACCTATCTCTTCCTCCTGGCTCATTTGGTTCACCTCAAAGAGGATTACAACAACATAAAGACCTTGCTGGACACCTTGCAGTATGATGAGTCTGGCTGGGAGGTTATGACAGACAAAATAGTAGCATTCCTGATAGGTTTCCCATAAGAGTTTTACTAAATTTCCCTGCTATCTTTGACTTTGGGACAGCAGGGACACCAAGGGATATTACCACAGGCGGGATTGGCCACAGTGGACCTATTTATCTTTGGGGAGAAACATCGTCAAGTGCGAGTTACTGGTGAACCTCCGGAGGGTGCTGATGCACTGCCTTATGAAACGGTGTCACAAATCAAGATGATAAGTTGGCAGCCTTCTGTTCAAGACTACTTCTTTAACACTTTGACGTCGTGATGACGCTCTCGGTGGCATCAAAACAATACACACAGTGTGCGACATGACAACGCCATCAACAATTAAAATATTTCTAACAATTCCATTTATTGTCCAATTTTTATGGGACTTGTTTTAAAATGCGCACTGTGCTATTGCCAACAATTTAATACTATAATGAATGATGTAGCACAAAAAACAAGGTCAGAAAACTGGAAAGAGTATAAACATTTGAGTAACGTATCGCTCTCTGGCAACGCTCGGCCGACTTTAACCTTAGCTTGGCGGTACACGCATCAGGCTTACTTTGAATTTCCAACATTATCTCACTACTATATTTACAGATCGGTTTCAGTTGTCATCATTCATAAAAATTTATTTGTATTTCCTTATACTTTCACTTTATGTAGCCTTATTAAATTGATCTTTATTCACTTTTTTTTTTTTTTTTTTTTTTTTTTTTTTTTTTTTTTTTTTTTTTTTTTTTTTTTTTTTTTTTTTTTTTTTTGAGATATATACAAGAGTTGTTACATTCTTGTAGAGCCACTAGTACGCGTAGCGTTTCGGGCAAGTCCTTAATCCTACAGTCCCTGGAATACGATCCCCTGCCGCGAAGAATCGTTTTTTCATCCAAGTACACATTTTACTGTTGCGTTAAACAGAGGCTACAGTTAAGGAATTGCGCCCATTAAATCCTCCCCGGCCAGGATACGAACCCATGACATAGCGCTCGCGGAACGCCAGGCGAGTGTCTTACCACTACACCACGGAGACTGCTTAATTCATTCCCTTGTCTGTTTTTTTTTGCAATGAGTTTAGAATTGCCCTAATTGCATTATATGATAGTTTAGCCATTGAATTATGCAATTTATTCTGTGGCCTTTGCTTCTTGAAGTGCTGACTGGTAAAAATGTTGTCCACAATTTTATAGAAACACCTTGAGTGCCTTTCCAACACGAATGCAGATAAAATAAATAAATAAATATATATATATATATATATATATATATATATATATAATATTTCGGTATTTTGTAATGCATGTTTTTTTGTGTAGGAACTTTCTAATCATTTTGTTGTTCCTTTGTTCTCAGTGAGATGCTGCTTGGGCCAACTCCGTCCGACTTTGTGTTCCTACCAAAGCATAAAGCTAACGCCTACTGAATTACTTTGTTGTTTGTTTACCTGACATTTATATATTAGTAAGATTTTGCAGTGCTCTGTGAATGATATGCTAGTAAGGGTCATCTGTTTGTTGTTTGACCTGCTGGGGAGAGATAATTGAATATGTTTATTGCAATTTACTCTTAAGATGTGATCATTTATTTTAGTCTAGTGTTCTATTGCAAATATTTTAGAAATAGAAGACAATATAATTATATTGTACTATATAGCATTTTATTGTGCGTGCCAGTATCAGTACTGAATTTTTATGAGGTCAAGTATCATTGTTACACAAAAATTATCGATTATCAAAATTTTATCTTTATACAGATATGTCCTCTAATTTTTTAATGTTCTAGCGATACGAGTATGGGACTACTTCAGGGGCTATGATAGGGGATTGCTCCAGGGACATAAGTATGAGACAAGAGACTGCTCCAGGGACATAAGTATGAAACAGGAGCCATACAGGGACATAAGTATGAGACAGGAGACATACAGGGGCATAAGTATGAGACAGGAGCCATACAGGGACATAAGTATGAGACAGGAGACATACAGGGGCATAAGTATGAGACAGGAGACATACAGGGGCATAAGTATGAGACAGGAGCCATACAGGGACATAAGTATGAGACAGGAGCCATACAGGGGCATAAGTATGAGACAGGAGACATACAGGGACATAAGTATGAGACAGGAGACATACAGGGACATAAGTATGAGACAGGAGACATACAGGGATATAAGTATGAGACAAGAGACATACAGGGACATAAGTATGAGACAAGAGACATACAGGGACATAAGTATGAGACAAGAGACATACAGGGACATAAGTATGAGACAAGAGACATACAGGGACATAAGTATGAGACAAGAGACATACAGGGACATAAGTATGAGACAAGAGACATACAGGGATAAGTATGAGTACAGGGACATGATGAGACAAGAGACATACAGGGACATAAGTATGAAACAAGAGACATACAGGGACATAAGTATGAGACAAGAGACATACAGGGACATAAGTATGAGACAAGAGACATACAGGGACATAAGTATGAAACAAGAGACATACAGGGATATAAGTATGAAACAAGAGACATACAGGGACATAAGTATGAAACAAGAGACATACAGGGACATAAGTATGAGACAAGAGACATACAGGGACATAAGTATGAGACTGCAGTAATGAATGAATAATGTACTTTATCAGAGTACTTTCACAAGGAAGAATAACAGGGATGAGTTGACTATGAAGGATAGTTTTACTTGTAATAACTTGGTACATGCTATAACATTGAGAGTTTGTCATTTCTTGCAGTTGACACCAGAAATTTACCATATTTGTAGTTTGTAAACAATATATAAAAAGATCAATTATAATTCATGTCTTGCAAACATATGTATTGTATGTAGTAAGGCATATAATACATAAGGGGCTCCTGTGGTATGAACACATATGGGGTTCATATATATGATTGATCTGTTTATATGTGGCCAGTCACCTATCTAGTTCTCAGTGCATGAAAATGTCTTGCTCGTTGCTGTTAATTTGATTTAAATTTTCATGCAATACAGGTGTTTTGAGCAAGCTGCAATTTGGAGGCTAGCCTACACCTTGATGATACCACCAGTAGCATGTTGTGGGTGGGAGCAGATACTATAAGAATACTTACACAAAAGTGGCAGCTGTCATTCATCTGTTGTGTTAGTGATAGTATCAGAAGGATTTATTTTAAAAGTTTGAGGGACCTTGGACAAAAAAATTCAACCTGGTTAAGGAAGTTGTCTAAAAAAGGTACCATGTCTAGAGTGAAGGCCTCAGGGAAACCAAAGTATGAAGAGATGGCGCTAGCCATGATGATTTTTGAAGACTGGTGAAAGCACAAAGTTTTTCCATGAGGATGAGTTACCTTAAAATAGACGTGCCTTCATCATCTTTGAAAGTTGGCCGAGTAGATTATGTTGTTGAACATGAGCAGATTTATTAAAGAGGCATTTGAAGTAGTACTTCTACCATCATGGCCTGCTCTAAAGGTAGTTTGGCCTCTTTTTATTTTTTTTTATTTTTAATCAATACTTTTTATGTTGTATTTTTAGTTTGGATGCAACTGGGAGAGAGATTTGGGAAGACGTGGCCACATTTGGCCCAAGTTCTTAATTTTGTGACATGGGGGGGGGGGGGTTATTTACACATGATCCTTCCCACTGTGGGATGTTGGTCTATGATCCTTCCCACTGTGGGATGTTGGTCTATGATCCTTCCCACTGTGGGATGTTGGTCTATGATCCTTCCCACTGTGGGATGTTGGTCTATGATCCTTCCCACTGTGGGATGTTGGTCTATGATCCTTCCCACTGTGGGATGTTGGTCTATGATCCTTCCCACTGTGGGATGTTGGTCTATGATCCTTCCCACTGTGGGATGTTGGTCTATAATCCTTCCCACTGTGGGATGTTGGTCTATGATCCTTCCCACTGTGGGATGTTGGTCTATGATCCTTCCCACTGTGGGATGTTGGTCTATGATGGTTCAAAATCCTGAAGACCCAGGTAGAAAAAGTGTTAGTTAATGTTGCATTATAGGAAATTATAATTAAAGCTTGCCCAACAATAGGTTGTTTTATATTGCTTAGTATTGTGATAGAGATTGAAGTGACAAGTTTAGAGTTAACCTTCAGGTAATTACATGGTTGCAGACTCTGTGAAACATCATTACAAATTACGTTGTTAAATATCTTGACAGAAAAACTAGTTTGGATTTATGGATCTAATTTAAGGATATTTGCAGATACTTTATTAATATTGTAGTAGCATAAAATTTATAAAGAAAAAGCATCTGAATAATACAATTTACCCACAAACTATAATTGTTTTAACCCTTGGATAACGGATGTGGAGAAATGATCATACCAGCCTATGCACAAAAAATATGGAAAATTTACCCCCCAAATTATTCATTTTAGAATTATTAATTTGCATGCAAAATGTAAGAAAAAACATGAAACAATTAATATTTGCAGTTTCACTGGGTGGAGGCGCTCTGTAAGTCTGCGTTTGGCACTTGTCAACGCCTGGTGTTCGATTTTGCAGAAGCTTCCTGTTTTATCCTCCGATGTTTCACCAATTGTTTTGAAACAATTGGTGAAACATCTTGATTTTCTTTATTTACACCCACAGAGAGCTATTATGTCCATACAGTATTTGCATTTGTACACTTGAAACACCAGACAATATTTATTTAAATCGTCATATAACTATGACTGCATTCCCCTAGTATGTAACATTCTTGACCAAAACCGCACTGTTACCACGGAATTTATTTATTTAAGTTTTTTTTATTTATTTTATTTACAAGGTGTATTGGGTTGTGAGAGTACATAACATTGGTGTTCTTACATTCTTGCAAAGCCACTAACACCCATTTGAGAGAGTGTTAGATAGACACCTAAATTTTGAGAGAGTACTAAGAAGTAAGATCACAAAATACATGAAATCACAGCATCTCCATAACCCCGGACAACATGGTTTCAGAACAGGGCGCTCTTGCTTGTCGCAGTTGCTGGACTACTATGATATGGCATTAGATGCAATGGAAGACAAACAAAACGCTGATGTAATTTACACAGATTTCGCAAAAGCTTTTGATAAATGTGACCATGGTGTTATTGCACATAAAATGCGTTCAAAAGGAATTACAGGAAAAATAGGCAGATGGATCTACAATTTCCTGACTAACAGAACCCAATGTGTAATAGTGAACAAAATTAAATCCAGCCCATCAACCGTGAAGAGCTCAGTCCCCCAGGGTACTGTGCTTGCTCCAGTACTTTTTCTCATACTCATATTGGACATAGACAAGAACACAACCTATAGCACTGTATCATCCTTTGCAGATGACACTAGGATCTTCATGAGAGTAGGCAACATAGAGGACACGGCAAACCTCCAGTCAGATGTAAATCAGGTCTTTTTATGGGGTACAGAAAATAATATGGTGTTTAACGAAGATAAGTTCCAGCTCATGCGCTATGGAAAAAATGAAAATATAAAAACGGAAACCACATACAAAACTCAGGCAAATCATAACATAGAACGAAAAGGCAATGTAAAGGATCTGGGTGTACTCATGTCGGAAGACCTTACCTTTAAAGAACACAATAAAGTAGCCGTCACAACTGCAAGAAAAATGACAGGTTGGATAACAAGAACTTTTCACACTAGAGATGCTATACCGATGATGATACTTTTCAAAACGCTTGTGCTCTCTAGAGTGGAGTACTGCTGCACAATGACAGCCCCTTTCAAAGCTGGAGAAATTGCTGACCTGGAGAGCGTGCAGAGATCCTTTACTGCTAGAATCCACTCAGTAAAACATCTAAACTATATAGAGCGTCTATATAGAGAGTAATAGAGCGTCACCAGGGCAGGGCGAGGTATATAATATCTGATCTTAGAAAGAATGCCAACAGTTTTAGAAACTTTTTTTGCTATATTTAGAATGTGTCTCTGGAAATTCAGCTTGTTATCGATGAGGACACCAAGGAATTTACCATCAACTTGGTAATTTAGTTGATGCTCTATCAACACTTGATTTGTATATTGTTTATTCTTAGACTAATTTCATTTGAGGATTTATTACCAAACAAAATATAGAAAGTTTTGTCAATGTTAAGGGTGAGTTTGTTAGCAGTTAGCCAAAGATGGACTTTATTTAGTTCAGTATTCACAGTGACATTTAGAGCAAGGGGGTCAGGACTGGAGAAAATGAAAGTTGTGTAATCAGCAAATAAGATTGGTTTGAGGAGTTGGGAGGCATTTGGAAGGTCATTAATGTAGATGAGAAAGAGGAGAGGGCCCTGTGGAACACCAATGTTTATGGGTAGTGTAGGAGAAATGGAATTATTCACAGAAACATACTGGAGCCTGTCAGTAAAGTAAGACTAAAGGTATTGCAGGGAGTGACCTCTGACTCCATAATGAAGTAATTTAAGAAGATTTTGGTGCAGGCGATGAGTCACAATAACGTGGTTGAAGTATGTTGACCAGACCACACATTAGAAATTGAAGGAACGACGACGTTTCGGTCCGTCCTGGACCATTCTCAAGTCGATTGTGATGAGGACAGATTGATTGATTGATGAAGATTAAGCCACCCAAGAGGTGGCACGGGCATGAATAGCCTGTAAGTGGTGGCCCTTTCGAGCCATTACCAGTATCAATAGATGATACTGGAGATCTAGGGAGGTGCGACTGCACCCTGCGTGACGGGAGATGTCTCCCGGACCAAGTGGTGACCAGATGATCGATGAGGACAGGTAGGGACAGGCATTAAATAGGCAAGAGAGAGCTGAGGAGGAAAGTCAGGTGTAGGGGATAGTAGTAATGAGAACTGCAGCAGGCGACGAAACGTCGTCGTTCCTTCAATTTCTAGTGTGTGGTCTGGTCAAGGTTTTGGTGGTTGACAAGTGTCAAAAGCCTTACGCAGGTCCACAAATAACCCAACAGGGAACTCATTTTTATCAAGAGCTGTATGTATCAAGTTAATCATACTAATAAGTGCATCGTTAGTGCTTCGTTAATATCTTACTTAGGATTTTACCCTCGAATTTGGTTTGGTATACGTAATGCAATAATTGTCATTTGTTTTCAATAGTTTTGCTTAAAAAATCTCAATTAGTTCCTTAGTTTTGTATTTTGTTTTCCACATTGTGCTGGGAGCGTTCTGCGTATTAGTGGCTTTAGGTGTAGTACTTGCCTTACCTATAAATCATTCATTCTTCTTGTATCCTATGTATGTACTTATGCTTAAATAAAAATTATTATTATTATTATAGTGTAATATAATCCTAACGTTGCATGTTTACTACAAAGACTTCTTTAGTTATGCCTACACAATATGA